ACAGACAGAGTTACTTTCGCATTTCTAATATTAGTAAGGATAAGGATAGTAAGGATGAGACACCTTTGCAAATTTTAACATTTATAATATTAATATGATTAATTCTTTTATCACAAATCAACAGTGGCCTAATAAAGATAATCCGATAGTCTGATATGATCCCAATACAAAATAATAGTAATATAATAACTAACAATATAACAAAAACCGGTAAAGTGCGAGTCGCACTCGTCCACTGCGGGTTCGGAACAACTAATAGAAATGTAACAAAACAGGACTCTCCAAACTATAGAATAAATGTGTAGTGAGTTAAAGAAATTAATAAATATATACATGCTCTATTGCGTGAGCCAAATCCGGGACGCCTGTGTCTACAATCCGGCCTACGACATGTCAAGACTCAAGAAGTGTCATCTTAGGTCGCGTACTTTGCGACTAGAGTTAAGGACAGAAAAATTAAAACTATTATGGCCCTTGTACATAATGGAATAGGGTCTACAAACCAAAATGATGGCGTTAAAACTTCAAAGTTCGGTAACTCCTGAAAGAGAATAAAAGACGTCTGCATCGGATCTTCTATTTCAGCTGCCAAGCAACTTGCTTTATGTTGTGTTTCGGTTTAAGAGTTATGTTAAACAAGTGTTTTAGGTAATAAAATTACAGGATAAGACGAGTGACATTATAAAGACAACACAATTCTCTGGATCTGAACGTATGAGTGGTATGATATATAGGCGACGGTTACCGCTTATCATCAGGTAAACCGCCATTTTGTTTTCGATTACCATATCAAAACATCAGTAGGTTCTGAAATATATGGACGAGGAGACAAATATCGCTTTATAAGGGTTTTACCATATTCCTACGGAACCCTAACAATAAAACAGCTGATAACAAAGATTTTAGTTATAGATATAACTAAAGATCTATTTGTTCATTTTGTTCATTTTGCTTCGGAACCCTAACAATAAAACAGCTGATAACAAAGATTTTAGTTATAGATATAACTAAAGATCTATTTGTTCATTTTGTTCATTTTGCTTCGGAACCCTAACAAATTGAATAAGAAAGATTTCAGTTACAGGTATAACTAAAGATCTATTGAGACACATATCGCTTTATAAGGGTTTTACCATTTTTTTCGGAACCCTAACAATAAACCTGCTGAATAACAAAGATTTCAGTTACAGATATAACTGAAGATTTATTATATTGATGATAATTTTAGTAACCAAATTCAAAAGATAACTTCCGATTGCTTGTCGATTTATCGATTACAGGTATGTATGTCAAAAACTTTACTGGTTTGACTATATGTGATAACATTACCAGTTCGATATAGTTATCATGCTTATCAATTAGGCATCCTAGATTACTCTGGTACCATCAAATATGCCCAGGGCCGGACTTACCGTAGGCCGTAGGGGCCCCGCATAGGCAAATATAAAGAAATTGAAAGTATTATATAAAGTCAATATTTCTCTGTAAAATTTGTATTTTCAATCACAATTGATTGTATTTACTAGTTTTTTCTATGCATGCAGTTAGTTATTAAAATATGTTATACATGCGTAAAAAGCCCGTTTAATATCCAGTAGTAGAAAGTAGAAGAACTAATATCACGGATGATTATGACGTATTGTACTTTAGAAAAAAAATTAACCAGAGAGGAGATAAAATTTTTCAAACGCCTAATAATTTATATGTATATATTAACAAAATATAGATTTTTTTTAATAATCTATAGCAGCTACTACTCGCGGCTTTGTCTGCATAAATTTTAATCCCTATTTTATCCCCTCCCAGGTTAAAATAAAAAGATATTTAAGATAAAAAATAGCTTATATTCAACCTCTTAATACAGTCTAAAGAGTGGCTCGTAGTAGAGTAGTGGATAAGTATCAAAAACCTGTATTGTTGTACAAAGCTAACTACTAAACATTTTAGTATTTATATTATTTATATGGCCTAGCCAAATAGCCTTTAGTGAATTAGTTTCAATATATTTTGCTGAATCAAATTAAGACTCTGTGTATTGCCTATGAGCCCCGAAACAGTTAATCCGGCCCTGAATATACGTACTAAACTACTACCTATATTAACTATTAAATCTACTACCTACCTAAATAATTATCAAATATAATATTATAAAAGGGATAAAGTAACTTTGTTGTTTGTAATACAAAACAAATCAAAACATATTCAACCCATTTTAAAAATTCTTTCACATCTATACACATAAATAAAATTGGAGTGTCTGTTTGTAATATTGAAATAACCGTTTTTTACTACATGCATATGAAATTAAAATACGTTAATTATTATTAAAATACATATACCAAAATAACATTTTTTACAATTTTTCTCTGTCTGTCTGTTTGTTCCGGCTAATCTCTGAAATGGCTGGACCGATTTTGACAGTACTTTTTTGGCAGGTAGCTGATGTAATAAGGAGTAACTTAGGCTACTTTGGCTTTAGAAAAAAGTTAAAGTTAAAAAAAGAAACGTGTATAAATACGAGTACCTTTTACATTGTTTTCATTAGAAATTTCTAATACTATATGTATCCGAGCAAAACCAGGGCAGGTCGCTATGCAATACTAATATTATAAGTGTGACCGTCTGTATACTTGTTATTTTATTAAGACTGAACGGATTTTAATTAAACTTTGTTACGAAAATAGATTCAGTCACGCCGGACATAGCTATTAGTTCCTTAACTCAAAAAAGCAGACGAAGCGGCGGATAATTCTTGTAACATTATAAATGCGTATGTGAAACTATTTTTATTTAGTTTAGTTTCATTTTTAATTAGTTTCCTTAACTCTTGTTCATTAAGTATTTACTTTGTTTTTGCATAGGGGACAAACGAGCATGCGGCTCACCCGATGTGTGAAAGTGTTTACCGCTACCTAAATAAATATAATTATTCAAAAGTGTTTATAATAAGTCTATCTGAATAAAGTTAGCTTCTACTTGTAGTTCTTGAAGGTTTCAATATCGCATCGAAAACTTTATATCACCTATCTATTCCATTCTACATTACCACTCTGTTGGTCTACCAATAGGGCAAAATTTAATTATAATCCAGCTAGTATTATTTGGGTTAGTAATAGATTCTGTGACTAACTTGTGGTCATATTAAATTCTGTACGTATCGACCACATCTGGTAATGCGGTTTCGTCATTGTGGGTGTCATTTGTCAATTTCGTGAAAACGAAAGTGTTTACAATCTGTCTTACGAATGTATAAACATATTTTGATCTAACACAGACATCATGCTTATTAGGTCATCCCAACACTATTTTATTGTAATACAATAGTTTTTTTTAAATGAAAATAATTAAAAAAAAACTAATTTAAAAAGTAAAAAAAAATATAACACTTAAAAAAAAACAACATTAAAAAAATTGGAACCCGATGAAAGTTTATGCTTTGAAATTAAAAAAGTTTCAAATCTGTTTATAAAGTACGAAGTTATGAAGTAACATACGTTAAAAAATACAGCCGATATGAGAACCTTCTCCTTTTTTGGAGCAGATTAAAAAACTAATAAATAAAATATACCAGTTGAGTTTCTTGTCAGTTCTTCTCAGCTGGAGTAGTTAGCCAAACTGAATGGTAGGGACAGTGATATAAAATTATGACTTGCAAAAAAGGCCTAAAGGTCCTATATGAATAACTATGTATATTCTGATATTTAGTACTTCCCAACTTGAAAACATAATACAATCAAATCTTACCTTTATATAATAATAATAGTATAGATATATATACATTCAGCATAAATTAAGAGTATAGGTACGAGTAGTTTTTGAGTTTATCCCGGAAAACAAGTATTTATTATACATTCTATTTGTGAAGAATAGTGTGTTCTGGTTTATTTGTAAACAAACTAGTGCAAAGCAACTTTTAAATAAGCAGGAACGAAATACTATTTTACCTTTTTAATTACCTAAATATTTAGCAAACAAACACAATTTTAAACTATCTATTAAGAGGAAAACATTACGCTATGCAATTTCTAAATATAAGCAACATTATTAATATAATGTAATATAATTAAATTTTATCCCGTTTCTTGTACAACTGTAAACAACCGTTAAAAATATAAAAAACATAAATTTAAACGTTTTTACAATTACTACAATAATTACAATTACAAAATATATTATAATATATGTTGTATATATTATAATACATTTTATGTAAATACATAAACACAATACTCAAAACATAATAAAAAGAACATGCATTTACAAATAAATTAAAAATAAGCAAATGACAAAAAGTGCAACTTAGTCCGAACGTCGAGAGAGGCAAATACCTTTATTTACCATAAAATTATAAGTGTTATAACCCGTTTAACTATATTAATAAAGGCGAAAGTATAAATATAAGTAAATGAAAAAATATGTATAAAAAAAAAGGAAATACATATAATATAATATTTGTATATATTTACGTAATATATTATTGTATTTCTTAGATATATATTGCATTTATCGTTCCATTTATATTTTGTTGCATTTTGTTTATCATTTATTATATTTGCACCGCCAACAATTATTCTCTGTACCACCTATGGTTGACTGGTAGAAAATGCCGCATGGTGTTATGTCCGCCAAATGTACTGTATACTGTATTTTTATATTGTGTGCATTGAAGTTAAATTAATTAATTATTAATATAATTTAATTTTATCCCGTTTCTTAATGAGTACAACATTAAACACCATTTAACATTAAAAAAAATAATTAAACGTTAATTCAATTACACAAAATATATTATAACACACAATACTCAAAATAAAATATAAATAATATGCATTTACATATTAATAAAAAATAAGCAAATGAAAAAAAGACCAACCTACTCAAAACGTTGCGAGAGGCAAATACCTTTATTTACTATAAAATTATTAATAGAACAATAAAATGCGAAAATTTATATACAAGAATACATGAAAAAAAAAATATAAAAATAAAGAAATACATACGATAAAAAATTCCCATATAAAAGCCGGCGATGGCGATTGCAATTTTCACGAAATCGTTCGTCGCGTCGAAATCGAACTTCTTCAGCATGTCACTCATGATGAACGCTTTCACAGTCTTATGTATGCACAGGCTCTTCACCATTGCTCACCAGAAAAAATATCGGTTTACGATTAAAAATATCAAATGCGAGAACGCACCGATACCGTCCGGCCGCTACTGAACTAAATTAGTATTCCGCGAACGCATGTATTAAGAAATATATATTAATTAAGTATAACCGTATGTTGACTGCGACGTACAAGCCATGAATGGCCACGATAGCATAAGCCGAGCGACAAGATGCCGACCCAAGCTATAATTTGTTATCTATAAAACATGTTACGATAGGCAAACGGATTTCAAATAATAGGTAATTAATAATGTCTGCATTTTAAGAGGCAGTCATTTTGTTTTTATTATAAACTCATTTTATTTTAAACTCGAAAAAGGCATGAGTTTAAAATAAAATGAAAAACATGAGTTTATAATAAAAATAAAATGACTACCTCTTAAAACTGAGATAATGAACCGCCACTTTCTTTCTTTCCTTTAGAATACTGTAGATGTTTATTCGATTACGATATTATTATATTTCATTTATGTATTATAAATCAATATTGTTAAAATAATAAATTTAATATATTGTTTGTAACAGATATTTTTTTTTCGTAAATACATACATATTATACATAGAAAACACCCAGACCGATACAAACGATCATACTCATGAATACAAATGTTTGTGCCGTGCAAGGAATCGAACCCGCGACCATCCGACGTAAAGCGATGTGCCAGACCGCTAGACCACCGAGGTCGTCAACAATAATAAAAGTTAGGATCAGCTAACCTTCTTTCTAGTGGTAATCAGCATCCAAAGCGTAACCCCTGTCACAATTAACATATAACGGTAAAGTTAACTTACACTAAATAACGTATACAAACGCACAAAACTAGCTGTGCCCGTGATTTGGTCCGCGTAAAATAGACGACGAATGACTTTCCATACAAACTTACATCCCGTATTTTATTCTAACCCTTAAGAGTATTTTATTTTAATTTAAAATGTCATATTATTTATATTTAATCAACAGGGTAAAATATAAGTTTTAAGCTTCTAGTTTTATAAGTGATGATATGAATCCCATACAACGCTCTTTTATATTAAAAAGTATCCTATGTCCTATCTTAGGGTCTAGACTATCTGTGTACACAATTCATTCAAATCGGTTCAGTAGTTTCAACGTGAAAGCCCGACAGACAGACAGAGTCACTTTCGCATTTTTAATATTATTGAGGATTGAAGTGTCTCTAACCCTTTTTTGTATTAAAAAGTCCTATCTCAGGGTCTAGATTATCTGTGTACACAATTTCATTTAAATCGGTTCAGTAGTTTCGACGTGAAAGCCCGACAGACAGACAGAGTCACTTTTGCATTCATAATATTATTGAGGATTGAAGTGTATCTAACCCTTTTTTGTATTAAAAAGTCCTATCTTAGGGTCTAGACTATCTGTGTACACAATTCATTTAAATCGGCTCAGTAGTTTCGACGTGAAAGCCCGACAGACAGACAGACAGAGTCACTTTCGCATTCATAATATTATTGAGGATTGAAGTGTCTCTAACCCTTTTTTGTATTAAAAAGTCCTATCTCAGGGTCTAGACTATCTGTGTACACAATTTCATTTAAATCGGTTCAGTAGTTTCGACGTGAAAGCCCGACAGACAGACAGAGTCACTTTTGCATTCATAATATTATTAAGGATTGAAGTGTATCTAACCCATTTTTGTATTAAAAAGTCCTATCTCAGGATTTAGACAGGATGTTTATCATTTGCTGATGGAGTGTGTCAGGAACGAGAGTCAACGACATGGAATAACGTCAGACCATGAAATAAATATATTGGATGTTGGTGCCATACAAACTGTTTTAGCCGATCCTTCGGGCGGTGCGGCTAAGGCAATTTGTTCACTGGTGAGGTAATGGAGTGATTGGTTTTAGGGTACAATGGGACTGACATGTACTTAGATGGTACAAAAGTCCCTAAATTTAAAAAGAATTAAAAAAAAAAGGATTTAGACTATCTGTGTACACAATTTCATTTAAATCGGCTCAGTAGTTTCGACGTGAAAGACCGACAGACAGACAGAGTCACTTTCGCATTTATAATATTATTGAGAATTGAAGTGTCTCTTCGTAATTTGAAATTAACAGCTTTTCCTAAATACATATGAAAGTATATACGGTATATGCATCATAAAAATATTTATTTTTGTCTCTGCCTGTCTGTTTGTTCTTGTTAATCTCTAAAACTTAGGGGGGAAAGGGGATTATTAGTAATGTGGACTCATAACTCTATTACTAGCAATGAACCATGTCAGGTTGACCTCCGCGCGGTTCCCCCTGGAAACTATCCTGATAAATTCCTGGTGAATTTGTCACGATGGGCTAACCGACCTGACCTCATGCTCATCTTATCATCCCCCACTGGTGCCCCGCCAGCGTAAACCGTTAGCGCAGGCGGGTGCACCATTCCAATATCATCCATAACAAAAAAAAAATCTCTAAAACTGTTGAACCGGCAATTTACTGCAGGTAGATAATGTTATAGGAGTACTACATTTATTTTAATTTATAGATAGATAGATAGAATATACTTTATTTGTAACACACAGTAAAAAAAAGTCATAAACAATATATTAAAGGACAACATGTATAGTTACAATAAAGCGGCCTTATTGCTGAAAGCAATCTTAGGGAAACGGATCGAAAAATGTACAGGTATAATTTATTTTAATTTATTTATTTATTACAAAAATTATTTATTTATTTTAATAAAAAAAAAGTTAAATTCCATGAGGACAAAGCCACGGGTAACAGTTAAGAGCAGAATATAATGTAAGAATAATAATTAATAACGCACAATAATAAGGAAAATCATACAGTATTACTATCTTAACTTAGGTATATTTTGTACAAACTCGTCAATTTTTTTCAACTACTCTAATTTTTGGACTACTCTAATGCTGTTGAACACAGCTGGCTTTTACAGCTATACCGGATTATAGGGGGCGAGTGCAGATGGCACTCCAAACCCGCGGAAGGACATATGGAGCAGCTGAAGACTAACTGCCGGATACGACTTTAGTCTGAGGGCATCGCTTGGAGTTCGAACTTCGGCTCGGGCTATCAGGTAATTTCGATCGCCGTTTGAATTGGATGGGGGATCGATCGAAGGGGCATTAACTCATCTGTGTAAGAACGCTTTGTGAGATATGTCTTGAGTACAAGGTTTCTTTCTACTAACTTTTTTATATTTATACACTTTCAATATGCTTACACATGTTATAACAATTAGTTATTTGATACCGCTTAATGGTATGAAGTGCAGGGACGGATCTACCTAAGGGCTTTTTGGGATGCAGCCCAGAGTCCCAAGGATATAAAGGGCCCCCAGTCCCCACTGAAACGATATTTAGAATATAAAAAAATATCTAGAATGTAAAAAAACCTATCATAATGTTGGCAACCCTGAGATCAATCAACCCATGCAAGTGCGCGTCTACCGAAAGGAACGGGGAATTTCTGGTCGCTTGTTTTTGGACGGTGTATTTTTTTAGTTGAGTAATATAATTAGGTAGGCCTCTAAAGAGATTTAGCCCAGGGCCCCACAAATTCTGTTGAAGTGTGAGATAATGCAGAGAAATTACAGGGTACGGAGGCATAAGCTCTTCCGGAATTGCAAGGAGACCAGTTCATAAAAGGACATGACGTCCTTTTATGAAGTTTCGAGGGCTCTGAATCCCGCAATACCTAACAAAAATTTATTATCAGATGATGTTTGCCATTTCACTTATTAAGAAAACTGTGATGTCAATACTGAACTGATTGTGTTCGATACTTTACGTCACTTCTTCGCACGTACGTTTTATTAATGACCAGCGTCATTGCCCCCTTTTTGCGGCTATATGTACTGTATACATGTCATTATATGTCCGCTTAATAAACAAGAAACAGATTATATAAGAACAATGTGTAATCGGCTCTTCCATTTACAGATCAATAGTCTATTTATTGACTACTAGCTGTACCCGCGACTTCGTCCCTGTAAAATAGTGACCTTGACCAAATAATGAAAAAAATATTTGAAAATCTAACCAAGTAAATTCCAAATAAAAATGTTTCATCATTTCATTCTAGTTTCAAAAATGAAAAATTTCCATACAGAATTCCATACAACTCAATCAACAGCCAAAAAAATTAGTTTCCAGCGTCTAGCTTAAAAAATGACGATAATTACATGCAATCTTTTATTTCCTTTTCAATCCCTTACAACCCTTTTTCTTTATTTATATTTTATCAACAAGTTTCAAGCTTCTAGCTTTAAAAATGACGATACTTCCTTATAACCGTTCATATCACTTTTAAACCCCTTACAACCCTTTTTTGCATTAAAAAGTAACCTATATCCTTTCTCAGGGTTTAGACTCTGTGTACCAATTTTCATTTAAATCGGTTCAGTAGTTTTGGCGTCTAAGTGAGACAGACAGACAATTTCGTATTTATACTATTAGTACGGATAGTACATTTAAGTCCAGGCTAACGATCTTATAGACTAAACATGACGCATTTTATCCACTAACTGAATACATTATCATGCGTCGTACTATGTTACGTAATATGATTCCACTATAATTTTCCACAAAGATAAACAAATCGATTATTCAGTCATTTCTATTTCTCTATATTTTTCATCACTGCTAATATTGTAACGAGGTGGTTCTTTTTATGGATGACAATTGAACGGTGCACCCGCCTGCGCTAACGGTTTACTCTGGCGGGGCACCAGTGGAGAGATGATAAGATGAGCATGAGGTTAGGTCAATTAGCCTATCTATAGCGTACCTATGATAGCGTAGCGGCTTTTGTATTGATTGCCGCATGCATCCTCATGTAAAGTGCGAATACTGACTACCACATAGTAATTTTTGTAGCTGTGACGTGGTCGAGTGGAATGAGTAGTCATGCTCACTAAAATGTCCAGACTTGTGGCGGCGTGGTGGGCCGGGTCATTGGGCTCCCTAAAATATGGTCGAGCGCAGTGATGGCTGGCTCATCCGTCATACTCGTGAACGAGTGCTGCTTGTAGGGACTGGTCTGCTCTTGTTTTTATATTTGAGCCTAAATAAATTAGTACCAGCACTAATTTATGGTAGTTTGTATTCACACGTTTCGACTTGTAAAATGTGAACTTACAAGGATCGTTTAAAAGAGCAACACACAAGTTTCTTGCTTATTCTTCTTGTGATGAGACAGCTTTCCGAATAAGCGGTAGATTTAAAAAAATGTTGACTATTCAAAAGTGCTTAAATTAAGTTTATTTGAATAAATGATTTTCTATTCTATTCTATTCTATCGCGACAAATTCACCAAGAATTTATCACGATGGTTTCCAGGGGGTACCGCGTGGAGGTCAACCTGACATGATACATTGCTAGCAATAAGATCGTAAATCCACATTACTAACAATTCCCTTTCCCTCCCAACGCGATGTTTTTTTTTGTATGGAAGATAATGGAATGGTGCATCCGCCTGCGCTAACGGATTACGTTGGCGGGGCGTCAATGGAGGATGATAAGATGAACTTGAGGTCAGGTCAGTTAGCCCATCGTGACAAATTGAAATCCACCAGGAATTTATCACATTACCAACACCCTTCCCCCAACGCGGTGGTTACCTCACCACTGTGATGTTATATATTATATCTGTATCTGTGGTGTTATATGTTATCATTAGGTGTCGCTACTTAATATTTGAAGGCTTCAGTGGTCTAGTTGTTTAGCACACTGCTTTACTTTCAATGGTTGCGGGTTCGATTCCTCGCACGGTGCAAATATTTTATATTTATGAATATGATGTTATGGTATGTTTGTATCAGTCTAGGTGTTTGTCATATTATATATAGAATACGTATGTATTTACATAAAATGTATCTATATGTAAATTGATCTATGTATTTGTATCAGTTATCAAGTACCCATAGCACAAGCTTTATCTAGCTTAACTTGGGTCTGTATGCTGTGTGAATTCTCCTGAGATTATTATTAAAGCTTCAAGCATCAGCTTCATGTCATTAGGAAGATGGTTATTAGCAAAATTTTTGTTTTCTTTATCATTCTCAAAATTGTTTTTAAAATTTTTGTTAATTTGTCATAAATTCAAATTAAAAAATCATTTATTCATTTTAGGACATTTTAGCCGCATATGAATGTCAAATTTTTACATTATAATTTTATTTTTTTCCCTACCGTCCAGTTCGGTATATAGATCCAATTGAGAAGAACTGGCAAGAAACTCAATTGAATTACTTTTTTTTTTTAAGCCAGTTTATTTACAATTTATATTTATATAGGTGTCTATGTCTAACATTAAATGAAAATTCAGTGCATGAACAACTATTGCCATGCACACTCGTCATTCAAGTAATTGTTTAGTGGCTTTGCTCAGTAAATATGATTTAACAGATGTTTTGAATTTATTTAAGGGTAATTCCAACATATCCTTTGGTATCTTATTGTAAATTTTTATACCTATTCCCATAAAAGACCTATTAACTTTTTCTAAATGATACTTGGGGACAGCAAGTTAATCTTTAAATCTAGTATTAATATTATGAATATTGCTGTTTTTTGGAAATAAGTCAAGATTTTTATGAACATATAGGATATTTGAATATATAAATATATAAACATTATATGGCATACAATCATATTTTAAAAAAAATTATGTCTCAAAATAAATGCAAAAAGCATTATATAATTTTCAATAGTCTAAAATATATACTTGGAACTATAAAACTATGTGACTAGTACATTAGGAACACTAAGAAGTATTTTAATAATTATATTATGTTCTGCTGATTTTCAATATCAATTTAAAAATAATTTTCATCTACGCACTGTTTCAATAGAACTTATATAAATTGTAAACATAAGTTTTATCTTTAAAATTATGATATCCACTGTGGAGATTTAAACCCACAGTTCCATGATAAAGATATTAGTTGATCTATTGATTGATTGATTAAAACTGCCTTGGTTGAAAGCTACTTGAACACTGATTTTGTTGCTAAAAGAAATTTAATGAGGTGAAATCATTACGAGGTGAATTTGGATGTATCGGCAATTGTGTATTGGCCAGTAAGCAAGCATGTGTGCTTGACCTAGGGTTGCCAACCATATTTTATAATAACATATCCTACTTTATTTTTGGTTTAATTATACTTTATACTATTACATAAATTGTGTAAAAGTAAAAATGTAAAAATACTTTATTTTAAACCATTACTGTGATGTATAAAATAAATACTCATTATGGGTACTTAACATTTATAATTACTGAACGAAATGTTAGATGTCAATTCTGAGTTATGATATTTGTCACTCTTTATAAACTGTATTTGAAATATTTTATTTTACTTTTCAAGTCTGCCAAATAAAGTAAGTATGTTCAAATTCATCTATACATATAAATAAAATTGGAGTGTCTGTTTGTAACATCGAAATAACCATTTTATACTATGTGCATATGAATATAAATAGGGTACATACACCAAAATAAGATATTTTACAATTTTTGTCTGTCTGTCTGTCTCTTTGTTCCAGCTAATCTCTGAAATGGTTGGATCGATTTTGACAGGACTTTTTTTGGCAGGTAACTGATGTAATAAAGAGTAACTTAGGCTACTTTTATTTTAGAAAAATAAAGTAATGTTGCACAATTCCATGCAGAGGAAGTTGTGCGTACAGCTAGCTAAAAATAAAGATAATGCATTGGTTCCCACAGAGAATAAAAATTAACAAAGGAGAAATGTTTTATTTCATTACTTAAGGTAGTTTATTTTTTTAAGGCGAACTTTTTATTTAATGAATAAAATTAATGATGAAACCATAATATAAATCAATAAAAAGAATATTGTTTTTCTTTGTTTAATCTTCAATGAAGAATGTTATTGTGACTAAAAAGGATTTAAGTATTTAAATAACTAAATAGACTTTAAAAGGCGTACGTATGATTAAAGATAAATAGATTAGATAATTAGATTTGTTATAATAGGTCAAGGTTGTGCAAGCAAAGTTCTCATAAAGTAAACATTATTATTAACCTACGTAAATAAATATAATTACAGTATTCATTCCTTTTTAACATGATACTAATAAAAAAATAATCAACTTACCTATTATATCATATAGACTTGCTGTGTAATTATCAACAAAATATGAAATAAAACCCATTGTCCTTTATAACTGGATTTGAATCACATATAAATAAATTACTATAGGTCCTCGTATGAATATTATTAATTAGAATAAAACTATTAACACAATATTCCTGTCATAATTATATACAAAAGAAGTTAAATATTTTTTCTATATAAATTACACTAGAAATTATAGTTTTTATTCAGAATTTCTTATTTATTTGATAATAATTTAATTTACAAATATGATATTAATGACGCACTGATAGCAGACTGACAATACTTCAAACAGATTTGTATATGTCAATCTTAATTCAGTCATCAATCAAGGAATAGTGAAAGTATCGTCGATTCTTTGTCTACGAATAAAAATCTTCAAAATAATTTGTCCACGAATTTAAGAAATATACATACAATACGTAATAAAAATTCTTAAATAACATTCAAGGAAATAAAACAATGCGTGTATTAGACAAACGACAGAGAAATTCGTCTCTTTCTGACAGCGATTGACTAGAAAATCTGAATAGAACAAATCTCAATCTTTCGTGCTGATCATAACGTATAAATTTTGTTAATGTTGTATTCACAGTTGTCACCAAAACCGAGGCCTGAAAATTAATGATGAACTATTGGCTGCCCACAGAGTACTTATTGAATTGATAGAAATAACTATCAATATTGACAGACGTAATGACTTACGACTAAGTCTTTGTAGGTTCTTCTCGGGTTTTACAGTTTTGTTTTGTTTATTTATTGTCAAAATTGACTTTTCTTTTAATATTTTGTTTGGAAATTAGATTTAAATTATGAATTAATTTTAGTAATGAATTGATTTAATAGATAGTGTTTAGGATGAATGACAAAATTTACCAAAAAATGTTACTTCGACGTAGGTTTTGTAAGCGCGTATTTTTAATGGTTACCGCATTTGGACTGTTTTTCTATGCTTCCGTTCTGTTGTTTGGTGATCTCAAAACCCCAAGAATAATGCATTTAACTGAGTTAGAGACATGTCCGGCCTGTTATGGAATATCTGTATGTCCTGAACTATATTCAAATCAAATCATACTAGAATCAAGTCACAGATGGATGGGAATTTTCAACGCGAAAAATATTTATTATGGCTTCACAAAATCTAACCGCAGGGTGGTTCTGAAGAAGTTATCGCATGACTGGGAGCTGAAAGAGTTTGACTCGAAGATCTGCAAGGAGTGGCACTTGAAACATAATTGTAAACCAATACATTTACTGAATGCTTCCAACATGAATGAAAAAATTATAGAATTAGTTCAATACAATCTGAGTTTCCCAGATATGGAGCCACGGAAAGGTCTGGTCTTATGTCCGTATGCATACAGTATTTATGACCTGGTGCAGCCTGTATTGAACAATAAGAAGTCCAATTACAGATCTGATATGATAAACCTTTGGACAATGCTGAGTATTAATCCGGAGCCTGTTATTTTACAAGTATGTCTATTTCTTTATTAATCTACTAATGAAACCTATGAAACTTCGGCTGTATCAAATCGCAGTTGAAGTCAATATGTTAATAAAAACGAATAATGTCAGTGAAACAAATAAAATATAAATAAAAAAAACAAAAATACTGAACTGTTTATTCTGTACTTATTACATTCTTTTTTACATATGTTAGTTTCTATTATTATACTATATGTACAATATATTTATTAGTATTAGTTACACAATTGTTCCTTTATTAGATTTTTCCTATGTTTATTTATTAATTATATTATATATGCAGTGCAGAGTGGCTGCTTCTATATTGGGCTACCCTTCTCTGGTAGGGGGCTGCTGTTAATTTTACTTACTATCTTTCCAGTGTCTCCATTGGTCTAACTCCTTTTCTTTTAGTTCTAACAACTTGTACTTAATTAAGTTCATTATAGATAGATATTGTTTATACTAACAAGATATTTGTAAATCAATAACACATTATATTGTAAGCATATTAACTAGTACAGTAGATATTAGGAAGACAGGAAAAAGTTGGACTCTAAGAGCAAAGGGCTGGATTCTATGGAAAAACTTAGAGAAGGTCACATCACAACAAACAGTTAACAAAAAAAAAACAATTAAGTAAATGTAAACTAATAGGAACACAGTTACTACAAATTATATGTATAATTAGAAAAAATTGTAAACTTGAAAGTTAACAGTAATAAAGGCTATTATTATTATTACAGTAGATGTTCAAATTAAAAAAAAAACAAAATTATTTAGGTAACACAATTTTACAACTACAGTTGTTCTACAGTTGTTTAAGATTCCTTTTAAGCATAAAGATGGCTGTGCCAGGAGGCTCCACTCTTCCATAGCTTATAATGAACATAACTTTTGTAAAATATTTCTAATTTTTTATATTGTATTTAGTTTGTGGGGGGAAGGGATTGGTTATTATTAGGGATTTATTTTATTCAATTCAGGCTACATGGCCCATATTAGAAATACCTTATAGACTAACATACATAAGAAATAGTAATAAAATATAAATTTAAATTGTCTCTATGGTCATGGCACTGACATTTATTTCATATTAATTTATTATTACAGATTATACCAAAATCACATGGTTGGCCAGTACCAGCATATGGTGGGGTCTGTGGCCGCATTGAAGTGGTGGCGTATGAAGGAGAATCTCTCTCATCTTTGCTGCATGTAGCTTGGCATCGCAAGTTGAAATATGCGAAGAAAATATTAGATGCAGCTATGGATTTCACATTTAAACATGACAGGTTAGCCCTAATATTATTATATCCAATTAAATTAACAGTACATATCATCAAATTTGTATTTATTATTGTCACCATTTTAAATTAAATAGTAGTATTCACACTATTTACTAGCTAACCTCTGCAACTTGCTTTGTGTAGGAAACTTTCAAAAGTTTGTTTCAGGCGTTCATAGGCTACGCTAACCATTTACCATCAGATGGGCCATATACTTGAATGCCACCATCGTAATAAAAAAACAATACCAGTTTGCAAGTTTTTTTTTAAAAATGTAATATTTTTTTCCACTTTTTGCAAGTTATTTTCATTGAAATTGTGATATGATATCCAAACTAATATTATTTATTCGAAAGTGTGTCTGTCTTAGGGTTCACAAAACCTATGAATTTCCCGGGAATTCTCGAACCGAGAATTCCCGGGAAATTCATAGGTTTTGTTCCCGGGAAATCAAGCTCGAGAAAAGTCGAGAACTCGAGAAATCATGTACCTATATAGAAATTAAATTGCCCTTTGTGTTGTTGCGTGGCGGCGCAATTATTTAAGATATTTTTGTTTACGTTGTTTTTTTTTCCTAAATAAGTAGCCAAAAATGGTGCTGTCATTATAAATATAAGTCTGAATAATTAGGTCCTAAAAAATTGAAATTGGCGTTTTGTAAGGGAATAACCTGAAGTATCTTTTTTCAAAATATAATATATTTATTTAATCAAAGTATGTACCATTTCTATTTATGCACTTTTGCCTTTTGTTTTTGCACTTTGGACTGCCCCATCGGAGTTTAATTTTTTCCCTTGCAAGAAGTTATCCAAATATCGAAAAAAATGGTAATCTGTTGGAGCAAGGTTCGGGAAGTACGGTGGTTGTCTTAGACACACATTAGTATGTGGTCAAGCGTTCTTGGCAATTGACCAGCCTCGGTTGTTTAGCAGCTAGCTTTTCCATCATGGTTTCTCAATTGCTGACAATACACATTTGCCGTAATCGTCTGGCCAGATTTAAGAAAGCCGAAGTGAACAACACCGGAAATAGTCCACCAAACGTTCACAAGTAACATTTTTTGAGCCAATTTTGGCTTGGGGCAGGATTTGGTTGGTTCGCCAGGGTTTAGCCATTGCAATGAGCGTTTCCGATTATCGTACAAGATCAACTTTCCATCACAGGAAATGATTTTATTTAAAATCCCTTCATTATTATGCCGGTTGATTAATGTAACGCAGCAGGCTACGCGCGTTTGTCGATTTACTCCATTGAATTCATGAGGGACCCACTTTTCAAGCTTTTTCACCTTCCCAATTTGCTAAAGGATTAAAACAGTGAGCATATACGCTCTTGTCAAGAGTTACTACTCACAATTCCTTCTCATACTAGTCACCGGTACACTAAATCTTTTACCGTTCAAGCTGCCCGACTGTGGAATACACTACCTACAGAGATTAAATTATCGCCATCGACTAGCACCCTTAAAAGGCGCCTTTGCAAGCTCTGGGGTCATTCCGAGTCTGCGCTCTTTTAATACTGCAATTATTTATAATATTTTCTCTTTATTTTATGTATGTGTATATGTATATATGTTTATGTGTATTTATGTATTTATATTTTGTTGTTATTATTTATGCTTCTATTAAAATTATTATTAGATTTACTATTATTTCTTGTACTATAATTTTATATACATATATTGCTTTTCGACGCGTATTTTCTTATTGTACTTGTATCCACCACTCCACAATTCCTTTCAGTCACTCAAAGGTTGACTGGAAGAAATCCCTCTTTTGGGATAAGTCCGCCATTGTACCATTTATTTATTTTTAAGACATATGTATCTATTAATATTTTGTACAATAAAGAATTACAAACAAACAAACAAACAGTTTTGTCACTAACACTGCAGCCTGCAGCTAACCCGGACGGGTTTGCGATGGATCCGCTTCTACAATAGCCTTCAATTCTTCATTATCAACCTTGTATTCCGGCCGCCCACGGAGATTGCTTTGCAGGTCGAAATTTCCAGAACGAAAACGTTGGAACCAAAAATGCACGTGTTTTCTTTTGCGAGACCACTGCCATACAGGGGGGAAGGAGATTGTTAGTAATGTGGACTAATGATCCCATTACTAGCAAAGTACCATGTCAGGTTGACCTCCACGCGGTTCCCCCTGGAAACCATCGTGTTAAATTCCTGGTGAATTTGTCATGATGGGCTAACTGACCTGACCTCATGTTCATCTTATCATCCTTCACTGGTGCCCCGCCAGCGTAAAGTTCGTTTATGCGTTCGTTAGCGCAGACGGGTGCACCAACTCATTATCATCCGTAAAAAAAAACCACTGCCATACACAACATTAATACTTCGAGCCATTTAGCACCGTTTAGCACTGGTGCCAGAGCGGAACTCGTACTCGTAAATTACGCGATATTTTAAGTTTTTTTCATTTGAATAGCTGTATAAATTTGGAAATGGAATTCCTTACCAAAGAGGAGATATTTGAGATCAAAGTGGCCAGTACGACAAAACGCCAATTTCATATGTAAGGACCTAATATTATTTCTCAATTAAAAAAAAATATATTCATAATATTAATGTTTTTAAATATACTCAATAAAAGTTTAATTTGACACTTTTATTTGAGAGGAATTTTTTGACGTTATTGGAACCAAATAATATGAGAAAAGGTACGTAATTGTAAATTTCTCGACAACCCGAGAAGACCCGAGAAATTGACCTCGAGAATTCTCGAGACCCGAGAAATTGAAAAGCTCGAGAAACCATGAACCCTAGTCTGTCTATCTGTTACCCGGTCACGGTTAAATGGATTCTAATCAAATTTAATATGCCCTTAGATCTTAATGCAATTTAATATTATGATAAATCATAATAATGTTTTATTGTTGTTGTATCAAGAGAATGATAATGAAAATAGGGTTGCTTTTATCTTTTTTTGATCACATTATATTTTAAATTGCAGATTCCGTTTTTACTTCATGGACTGGTCATTGGACAATATAGTGGCCAATGAAAAAGATGAAATCACATTTATTGATTTGGAAGACGTTATTGTCCTGGACAAGCATATTTCACCAGGCAAAGACCTACCTGACTGGTACCGGCGTTACACTCGAGATATAATCGGCTCTGGTTTTACTTTTTCTGTAGAAAACATGTGCATCCACCATCTAAGTGATCATAATCTGTGGGCAGCGTGTTATTTACTGGCAGGCGATGATAGTCCTTTATTGTATCCTATACCGAAAGAGGTGCATACCTTAAGACCTCATTTCCATCGGTTACTAGAGGAATGTTTGCATGGGGATGATAGATTCCGTACAGTAACAAAACTGCAGCATGTCATTACAGATATGCTCATGGATGAAAAAATTGTCGGTTTTGGTGTTATCAGATGATAAATATTTCATTCTATATAATTTAATATATTTTGTGTTAAATTTTAAATAAGTTGTAATAATTGTGATATTTAATAGGTAATATTAAATTAAAAATGCATTAAACATAACGTTGTTTTTTCATGCTAATCCCTGTTAATTTGAAATAATAAATCCGATGTAGTACTTGCATGCTTTTGAAGAAATTCTTTTTTTTACTTTCAAAGGATGAGTAATCATCAAGTCAGATTGACTTAATAATTCCTCACTATCTTACAGTTACATATTGTTCCAATATTCTTTACTGAAACACTGAGTTACCTGAAAATTTATGTTTTATTGGAATGATTTGAAGGCTGTACGGTGTAAGGATCTTTGCCAGTTCCATCATTAAAAAGGACAAATACGAGGAAAAAAATGGAAGGATCTGAGTCAAATATTACAAACTACTGCACGACTTTCAACAGTTACAATCATGCCTGAGTCTATGTCATAAATACAAGAGTTAAAAAATGAGTAAACGGAAATATAAGATCAATAATAAATGAAAATAAATTTGGCTTTATTTTGACAGGGGTTGCCAACCTGAAAACATAGCCACAAAGAAATAAATAAATCTGATAAAATCTAATACATTAACACTACTTTCTAATAGTATTTTAAACATATTATTAAGTCAGAATATCGTAAAAACCTGTACGGCGATCAAAATGTTCTCGTACCGAAGGCCAATAATCTTTTATCGTAGTACAAGATCTAGGACTCATGATTGACATCTGCTACTGTCACTACTGACATTATTCTCAAAGTATTCAGTTCTGTGGTAATATTTAATAATATGTTTTTTTTACGTGTGTGAAAAGCTTACCAATGTTATTTATTTCTAGTTTAATATTTTTCAAAAAAGATTACTGAATACTAACCTGAAATAACTTGTGAAATCGACATGTGCGCAATATTATAAACGCTATCTTATTGATTATTTACATTTTGACATTTTATTAAAAATGCAAACGCAATCGATTCATCCGAAATAAGAATCTAATTAAATAATTTGTAAATAAAGATATAGTAATAAATAAACAGATTTCCGAAGACTAAAGTTTCTTTGTCATATTGGTATTGTTGAATAATAGAAATTTAATGCATGTATGCCAATTTGAAATAGTCATTCACTTATATATTTTAATTAATTCGATATTTAGTTAATAATAAAAATTAATTAATTTGTTATAATGAATGATTCGGACTCTGACGATGACAATGTTATCCGGTATGGAACTCCACTTGAACCTTTCGAAGAAGGTAAGGTTAACCTATTCTTCAAAATGTATAAAAATTCACTACTATGTTATCTTTACACATATATTATTTAACATAAAAATAAAAATAAAGTAGTGACTGTTTGTTTATTTGTTTGTGTGGTAATACATTAAACATAATAATATTTAATCTCACATAGAAATGACTGCATGTGTTACAAATTTGATGAAATATTTTGATAAATATGTTCACTGCTATATTCTGAATTGAAAAGACTGCACTAGATGTAAGTAAAAAAATGTTGATACAAAAATCTTGACTTTCATAAGTTAAAAAAAAGAGTTTTGTGTTGTAATAAAATTATAATATTTCTTTTTTGATTTTTCTTTTGACAAGAATCCAGGAAAGGGAATAGTTACTTACTAATTTATAATATTATAAATGCAAAAGTAACTCTTTCTGTTGCTCGCTTTAACACCAAAACCACTGAAGCAATTTCAATTAAATTTTGTACACAGTTAGTCTAGACCCTGAGAAACGACATAGGCTACATTTTAATATGAATAAAGGGTTGTAAGGGAAGATAAAATATTGTATGGAATTATCATCACTTTTAAAGCTAGTAGCTAGAAACTTATTTTTTAGGCTGTGAATTAAATCTAAATGAATATGATATTCAAAGTTTGTAAAAATTTTACCATGATGAAATAGGGGAAGAAAGTTTATATGAAAATTCATAGTTTTGGAAGTTAGAACAATAAAAGTTAGCTTTTGGCTTTTTTGGGTTAGATTTGGTTTTTGTTTATTTGGTCCAGGTCAGTTCCGAGCACATCTCTCTCTTTCAGCATATTAGTCCACAGCTGGAGGGCACAGTTTGTTTATTATAATTTTTTATTATCTTTGTAGATGAGCTGCCATCAAAACGCAAGTTCCAACAGCCCTCTGATCAATATGCAGTGGATTCACATGGTCGTCGAAGGTTTCATGGTGCTTTCACAGGTGGCTTTTCAGCAGGGTTTGGGAACACAGTTGGTACACAAGAAGGCTGGACCCCAGCAAGCTTTAAAAGCTCTCGATCAGAGAAAGCACAACTCTCTGTTAGTATATCTATACTGTTCTAGAATTAAATTTATGATTTTATGTTATCTTACATGGATGGTACACATTTATTACATCATTTTTTTTTGGACTACTCTAATGCTGTTGGTCTCAGCTGACCTTTACAGCTTCACCACCTGATTATATTTCATTGTATTTCTGCTTATGTAGTAGTGTATAGTTTGTATATTAATAAATACATGCATCATTATTTTATATGTGTATGGGTTTTGTTACTCTCTTACTAATATTATGAACACGAATGTTTGTGAGTATTGGTGGATGGATATTGTACATGCAAAAACTGTTGAACGGATTTTGATGAAACTTTACAGTAATATAGCTTATAAATCAGAATAACTTATGTGGCTACAAATATTACGCGGGTGAAACCGCAAGCATGGGTAATACATATTAAATGTTGTATTCAATCAATCCTGAATTTATTCAACTCCATACAGTTACTGTAAAAAAATCAGTACAATAAAAGAAAGAACTGCAAATAGTGATTCACGCTGAATGCACTTCTCATTAACTTTTAAAATCTTTTTCAGAGTCAAAAAGCAGAAGATTTCATGGATGATGAAGATCGCAGCGAGTTTGGTATAGCGCCTCGACATATGCAGACACAACATGAGTTCTCTGGTCAGAAGAGGAAGCTGCAACAACGGTATCATGATGGACCAATACCTGGTAATTATCTTTTTTATTTCTGTATCCATCCTGCAATCAGTTGAAAACCATGAAGTGATATGGTAAAAGTTACGGCGCGGGTAGAGTGTGATTCTCAGCAGATTCGTCATCTCTTTAGGTGGTTCTGATTAGTCATCTGGTTCCAGGAACCTACGCCTTTTCATCATCATTAACCGATACGCCATTAGCATTTAACATTGCATTGTTGTCTGTTCCAGGTGAACCAGTACTAGAACGGTTATTGAAAGCAGTGCACGAGACTGCAGCTGTACGTATGCTTCGCGCGATGGGCTGGCGGCCTGGGCAGGGCACCGGGGATCGGGTGACGCGCGCTGAAAAGTTACGAGCGAAGCAGCAGCATAAAGTATATGGGTGTTACATGCCGCAGGAAATGAAACCAGTAAGTTTCGGACAACTCTAATGCTGTTGGCCGCAGTAGGCTTTTACAACTTCACCGAATAGGGCGAGTGCAGATGGCACTCCAAACCCGCGAAAGGACTTAAGGAGCGGCTGAAGGCCAACTCCCGCCAAAGAAATTTTAGACTTTGGTCTGAGGGCACCGATAGGGGTTCGAACCTCGGCTCAGGCCGTGCAATTTTGATCCCCGTTTAAATTGGACGCGGGATGGATTGGAGGGGTATATTATACAATTATAATTATCATTTTACAGACCCAAGATCCTGCATCAGACAATGACAGTTCAGATTCGGATTTCGACTATGAAACACTGTTTGCGCCAGACGATTATGAACCCTATATATTAAGCCATAAGAGTGATAAGTTTGGATTGGGTTACTCTGGTCTCAGCCGACATTCCGTATTGGGCACTTTGATGGGCGAGTACGGAAGTGACGCAAGCAGTTCTAGAAGTCATCTCGTCATGAAGGAGAAGGGAAAGAAGGTAATTAGATTTATGATTACCGACGTCAAAAATAAGCGGTTCGATTCGAATTTTTTTCATTCAATCTAATCTGATATTGAGCTTAGATATTTTTCTAAAGTATTTACCTAGATGCACCAATGTAATACATGCATTTAATAATGGCTAGTAAAACAAATTAAATATTGTCTATTAAGCACTGCATGTCTAAAATGTGTCGCCCCTTACATTTTCCTATTATTATTTAGTGTATAAGATCAATATTTATATGTACATTTTGTCAGTCTATTATCATCTGTAATATACGTCGTCTCAACCGACATGATCATATTATTACCCCGCAACACCATCCATCTCTATTTCAGCCATCCTCTGCATTTATGACCTGGATGGTCATATGTAACACCTTGTAATTTATTTAAATTATTTTGCCTTTAAAGTATTATATGTCATTTTAAAAGTATTTAGATAATGATTAAGACGGCGTGGTTAATTTAATTGCCTTATTTTAAAGGAGGCAATTCTAGCTTCTAATTTTGATAAATGAAATTTTTCTATTTAATCGACGAATTATTATCGAGTATGTCTTATAAACGCTATTTCCTGTACAGGTGTCAATACGAGGTCATGCCTTCGGAGTAGGGGCATTTGAAGCCGACGACGAGGATATATACGCGGCAGAGGACATGTCTCATTATGACTTCACACTGGGTGCTGCTACAGAAGACAAACAAAAGAAAAAAGTGAAGGAAATGGGTGTTAATGTAAGTTAAAACAGAAACAGAAAAAACTCAAACCGATACAAACAATCATACTCATGAATACGAATGTTTGTATCGAGGAATTGAACCCGCAAACATCGAAAGTAAAGCGGCGTGCTAAACCGCTAGACCACCAAAGCTCTTTTATGGATGATAATGGAATGTTGCACGCGCTAACGGTATACGCTGGCGGGGCACCAGTAGAGGATGATAAGATGAGTATGAGGTCATGTCAATTAGGCCATCGTGACAATTTCACCAGAATTTATCACGATGGTTTCCAGGGGGAACCGCATGGATGTCAACCTGACATTGTAAATTGATAGTGATGGAGTTATTAGTCCATATTAATAATGTTCCCCTTCCCTTCAACAATTATTATATAATCTAATAGGTCCTGGAAGGCTACGTTAGGGCCAGCAAACCATTGCCCCAAGTACCTTTCTACCCTCCACCGGCGTTGCCTAAGGATTATAAGCCGGCTGCAGCCGGATCAAGAAGATCGAGGTTTGAACCCAGTGATCAACCACAAAGAGATCAAGGTATGGTTACAAACTTATATAAACAGTAAAATTCATTACGAAATTGTTCCAGAAGAAAGCTACTTAACAGTGAAGATATAATTACATTATAAACAATGGTAAAAGTGTATATATAATTCGTTTATTGATCAATGTAAAAAACTTTTTTTTACATATATGGCAAGACATAATATGCAGTAACGATATTTTCACAATTTCCATGTAGTTACAGTTGTTACAAGATAAAAAATATTGTATTATATACATACACAATATTATAATTTGTTTAAAAATCATAATTAAGATATATTTACATTATAAAACATTAAATTCCAAAAAAAAATCACCGAAACCAAGGATATGTCACTATATCTGCTTAGCATAGACAAAGGTTTATGCTGGCCAGATTTTGGTGTCACCATATAATATAAAAAAAAAGATGGAACACTTTAACCGGAAATTCATTACGTTCCTTTTTTAAATTTAGTTCAGCAAAGGATCTACTTAATAACAGAAACATTCTCAGATGGAAGAGAGACGTTTGTTGTCCATGTTAATAACTTCTAGTAGATACTTTGTACTTCTGTCTTACCTAATTCAACAGCCCCGGATCTTCATTTTTTTTGAGGCGGGGCAAAACCTGAAAAATATCCTCCCCCCTTTTAACACCCCATTTGAAAAAAGTGTATGTGCTCTGGAAAAATAATTTACTTGACGTCTCAGTCGTAAAGTTGTCAAAGGTGCATTAATGATGAATTTGTATTCATCTGCCAAGTGCAAATTTGCCGCCCATAGATCGTGCCGCCTGGGGCATGGGCCTCGTGTCGCCACCTCCTGGATCCGGGGCTGTAATTAGTCACATTTTTAGTCAAGAATATGGAAGTGTAACACTAAAATAATTTATTTCTTTTATTTAATTCAGGCTAAATGGACCCATATTATAAATACCTTATAGACTAACATACATAAGAAATAATAATAAAATATAAATTCAAATTGTCTCTATGGTCACGGCACTGACGACGGCAATTTGCCACGGTAGCGCCGATACAATATCATTGATTACAAAAATCGGAATTGGCGAAAACAAGCAAGAATAGGCGAGAATGTTTCGATTTCTATTGAAAAGGCATGAAATGATAAAATGTTTGGTTGTAGATCTTAATATAATGTGTTGGTTTCTAGGTTTAGGCCGCCACGAGCTAACTGCAGAAGCTCGCGGTTCTCTATTGGGCGAGACTCCAGTGCCTAAAGTCCCAGATACGACCACCCAACCAAACATGCCCCCCACAGAGGATCCCATAGCTAAATTATTGGGTAGAAACGTTAACTTCGTATCAAATAGTGATGATAAAACAGAATTAGATTATATTCCAATAAAAGACAGTGAAAAACCAATCAGCAAAGTGTTTAGGCCTTTTATGAATAATCCAAAGAAGCAAAAGAGATATGAACTGTATTTGAAAGACAGGGATAGCTATATGAAGGAGGGAGATGCAGAGATGGACAGGTTGAGTGAATGGGAGAGGAATAGGGAGATAGTGGAGTTCGAGCAAGCGGCTAAGTTGTATAAGCCATTGACTGGTGTTATGAGTGATAGGTAATTCTTACTAATATTATATATTACATGCAAAACTTAGTAAATGAATAAAAATATGTAAGTAAAAAAAATAAATGAAAAATTGTTCTCAAATATGGCATTACATTTAGCAAGTTAGGTTAAGTAGTTTATTATTTACTAGAGGTGCCTGCGGTTTATGCATAGGCTATATTTTATATTAAAATTTATCTATATTACTGTAAAGTTTCATCAAAATCCTTTTTTTTGCATGAAAGAATAACAAACGTAACTTATCAACTTTCGCATTTATAATATTACTAGCTTCTACCCGTGGTCTTGTTCGCAATTTATTTATTTTATTTATTTATGAAAACCAAGGCTGACTATACGACATACTAAGCCACTGACAGGCTTTAACAAATAATAAAATATATTTGATTTTTTTTAAATAAAAAGTATCATATGTTTATTCTAATACCTCCAAGAGCATGTACAAAATTTCATGATGATTGGTTTAGTAGTTGTTGTGTGAAAGCGTAAAAAACATCCCTACTTTCACATTTATAACATTAGTAATTATTTAGTTTAAGATTTCCTGCATATATATTCAGGTTCACTCACGCATCAGAGCCGGATGAAGCCCTCAACCCTCTATGTGCAGTGGCTAAAAGCTCAACTAATTACGGTCTAGCCACGCCCGAGCAGATAGACGCAGCGAAACGCGGCTTGTTTGGAGTAATGACACGACGTGAAGTGCCTTGGAGACCCGAATCGCTTGTATGCAAGAGGTTTAATATACCGGAGCCAGGTGGAGCGAGGTAACATATTATAATATAGCTGAGAAAATTAAACAAAATAATAATAGTAATCCAGGATAATTTATACAGCTTCACCTAGTCTCATACTAGCAAAGCTTGTCCTACGGGTGTTAAACAACTGTTAACAAACTGTACCTAATATGTTAGATTTTTGTAAATACATAATATACATATACATACATACATAATATACTTACCAAGCCGGTGGCCATCAGAATTAAAGCGGTATATGAATCCGGTAGAAACAACAATCTGAGATTCGAATATTTTTAGAAATAGAGTTAAATATTAGTTTTGTTTATATTACAATGGTGGCAAACAAGCATATGGCCCTTCTGATGGTAAAGATTTACCATAGCCTAAATGTGTTCGATGTTGATCCTAAACTTAAAATTATTATTTTAAACTAATATATTGTACAGAATCTTTTGTTTGTCCTCAGACCCGAAGCAACGAAAGAAGATAAACCAAAAGTGTCCTATTCCATATTCTCCTATCTCGAGTCATCGGTCCATGATAAAGACAGTTTTGCCAAAGAGCAAAGTAAGTTCAGCGGATCAAAGTCTTTAAATACACCGAATACTAGTAAAGAACAAGATAAGTCAATCATTTTAACTGCTTCTACTGTAAATGAATATAATAAGAAAGATAACAAAACTGCTAGTGAAATCAAAGAATCACATACAGGTTTTACTAAAAGATTAACAGTTGCAGAACTGTTTCTAAAGGAATCCGAAAAAGACTTGAAAGACAAAGAGCAAGGTATAGAAGTAACAGAAACTATAGATAAATTCGATAAAATGGACCTTTATAAGGCTATATTTTTAAGTGATAGTGAAGATGAAGTTACTTCTAATACTGAGGAGAATCGCGACTCTACAAATACTAATGAATTTATAGATGTGCCTAAAAATGTACAAAGAAATACATCACCGCCAAGAGGTATCTTCGCGAATATAGACTTCGATGAACTAAACTCTTGGAAAAGAAATACTGACAATAAACAAACAAATGAAAAAGAAGCTGCTAGTAGTGCCAACGTAACAGATAATGCCAATGTTGCCAGTAAAGATGTAAATATAGATAATATACAAGTCATTGAAGAAACCTATGGGCCTAAAATACCTGATAATATCAGAAAAAAATTAGAAGGAGACAATAAAAGTGAAGATAGTAACTTAAAACCCGTTTTTAGAAGTCAGAGTGAAAGGGATAAGGAAATATTGGAAATAGATTCCTCGTCAAGCTCTGATTCTTGGGTAGAAGTCAAGTCAAAAAAGGAAAAAAAGAAAAAGAGCAAGAAACACAAGTCTAAACATAAAAAATCAAAACACAAGAAGAAAAGTCGATCATGATATTAATGTTGTTAGGTACCAACTGTATTATAGTATACTACAACAACCAGTACTGTTTTTTCATTTTTTAACTATATATTTCTAATTAATGCCTCGGAAATAGTAGCATATGAGTGGTAACACAGACATATCAGGATAGTGTGATTTGCTTTTGATGTATATAGGCGACGGTTTTTTTTATGGATGATAATGGAATGGTGTACCTGCCTGCGCTAACGGTTTAAGCTGGCGGGGCACCAGTGGAGGATGATAAGATGAGCATAAGGTCAGGTCAGTTAACAATTGGTCACGTGACAAATTCACCAGGAATTTATCACGATGGTTTCCATGAACCGCGTGGAGGTCAACTTGACATAGTCCATTGCTAGTAATGGGGTCAAAAGTCCACATTACTAACAAATCCTCTTCCCCCCTATAGGCGACGGTTACCACTTACCACTTACCAACTTTTTTGCTATTACAATTCCATAAAAAAAATTACTAATAGTTTTCTATAATACTAGCAGAATCCGACTTCGTTCGTTCGACCATTTCAGTTGTTTGTTTAATATCCTAGTAATAAAATACAATTATATGTGTACGATTTTCATTAATCTATTGTGATAATGTAAGGAACCACAATTAATGAAAAGTGCACCCGTTTTAGAGACTAGCGCTCACAAACACTGTCAAACGGTAGGAAATTAAAATTGTTTTGAGTTCTATCAACGTAATGTTGATTTATTTTTTCTCATAATATGCCTTTTATTTACAGACGGCGATCACTTATATTTTTTATACTTATAGTTGTCTAACTTTATATTTCTAGATAGTTCTCACCGTATCCTCGACCTTACCATCATTGATGACCTACCAGTGTATATTGTGTGGTCACATTCCACATTCCATCAACATCCGTAAAAAATCTAAATTAAAAACAACCCATGATACCCAACTGAATAAACGTCATCGCAACGGATTCCATACATCTGTTTCAGTTCAAAGTACTCGGCTGTTTTGCGTAAAAATACGAAATCTATTTGTAAATAAATACTCTTACACAATGCTTACGTTACGTAGCCTAAAGTGTGGGTGTACCAAGGTCAGTTAGATATGGCGGGAAACAGAGCGAAAGCAACGTCCTGCAATAATAGTTGAACATTTACAAAGAAACAAATGCATGATGTAATAGCCCACCTACAACATTACTACTGTACATAGTTCTAGAAAATTATTTCTATCTATCATTAGGTAGAGACTAGCTGTCTGCAATATACGATTCATGGGCGAAACTACCATGAATCAATATCGACTGTTTGCCCAAGGACTCCTATAAATTAGTCAATACATTGCTGTATTAAATCATATTGGTTTATCCATTTGCTTAATTAAAAAGCAATGTATATCGTACATTACGGTAATTGAAACGTCGCAAGCTTATATAGGTATAGCATCAATAACAAGTTCAAGAGAGAGAGATAAATCTATACAAAAACTACAGAAAGAACAAAGACGAAGCTGAACTGTTGATATGAAAGAGACAGATAATGTTATAGTATACTGAAATGAAAGAGACGTCTATAAAACAATTCCGACAACATGATTTTTCGTCACGGTTGGTACGCATGCGTCACTGCGCTACACCAGGGTCTCAACAAGGGTCAATTATAATTAATAGGAAAATTATAAACAATAGATACATAACTTTCTGAGAGTCAATTTAAAAATGTCTATTTTAAAACATATCTAAGATTAATCCATGTAAAAATTGAGCATTTTACTATTAAAAATATATATTCATAATTACTAATGTAATGATGTAAGATCGTAATGGAATACCAATGAGGGTGTGTGACTTTTAATGTCCGAGCCAATTAATGATGTGAGCTTCAACTACAATGATCACTTTATATGAATAAGGTGATTATTATCACTTCTATCATCTCATCTCATTTATATTTTACTATATTGAGCACGATAATATTTTTTAAATTAAATAGGTAATCTTAAGATATTTGTTTTATCTGTAGCATTGTCAAAGTTTCACAATTTTCTCAATTACGTTATTTATTAGACATATGGAATTGTATGAAATTGTAATACTCAATTCAAAGCATCTTTTACGCGTTACTACAGGAAAATTAAGTATAAATAATCATTCCCTTTGCGCCGGCCCTGTCATAATACAATCAGCTGTTTGTAATGACAGTTCCTCTGACAAATACAAAATGGTTGAAAACTAAAGTTGGCAAACAAAGAAAGGCAGCGTAATATCGAGTATTCGCGTTTAAAGACATTTTTTTAAGTGAAAGTTAGTTAGTTTAGTGTGTAAATTGTGTTCAGTGCACGATGTTAGATTTGGAAATTGTCCCTGAACGTTCCCTGGGCTGCGACGCCTGGGAATTCGTGTTGGGTGAGTTTATTGTGTTTATTTCGTACGTCAGGCATTTGCGTTGTATTTCCACAAGACGTTTATTACGCAATGTTGTTTTTACTGCCTGTATCCGACCCTATATGTATCTATTGGAATGGTACAACCACTAATTGCTCGTTGTATTGGGTTCACATTGATTTTTTTGCACGTAAAGTGTCACGGGCCTTGCCTTTGTTTCGTCTCAGTTCGTGTTTATTTTTTTTTTAAATAACCACTCTTGACCGTGAAATGGCATAGGTTGCGTTAACAACATGATCATTTCATAAGATTCCGTTTGTTGTGCTATATTCAGGTGACTGAACCGTCTGTTATTATATTTACTCGACAACAATAGATACCACATAAGATGCAAACAAATAGTGAAATAAACATTAACATATTATAAATACTATTTGATATACTTGATAATAATTATTTTTATTGTAGTAGGTATTTCAATTTAACTATTAAAATACTCAGTAGAAATTTAAATAAGTTTATTTTATAAAAATTATAATACTGGCTGGTAGGGAAAAAAAAATTATAATGTAAAACTTGACATTCATAAGCAGCTAAAATGTCCTACATGAATAAATTATATATTTACTCTTTTATTTACTCTTGAATAGTTAAAATATTGTAAGAGACCAAAACAGTTATTTACAATAATAATAATACAGGACAATTCATACAGCGCCATCTAGTCCCAAGCTAAGCAGAGCTTGTATTATGGGTCCTAAACAACTGATACAAATATATAAATTCATTTTTTGTAAACACATACATAATATACATAGTAAACACTCAACCCATACAAATAATAATACTTATTTATTAGTTGTTGTTTACAATGTCACAGAAGTATCTGCATAATATATGACTGCAAAGCATAAATTATATTTATGTCCCTAATTATTATTTAATAGCCATACCATAGTACCTCGTAATACCAACAAAGTCTGCACTATTTGTGTATTATCATAAATTACTTCTTTAATATATGTATATGTATAATATATGTATAATGTGCAGATATCTATACATCTATACATATAAATAAAATTGGAGTGTCTGTTTCTAATATTGAAATAACCATTTTTTACTACATGCATATGAATATAAATAAGGTACATACACCAAAATAACATTTTTTTAAATTTTTGTCTATCTGTTTGTTCCGGCTAATCTCTGAAATGGCTAGACCTTGATGGCCTTGGCTAGATTATGATGGGATATTTTTTGGCAGGTAGCTGATGTAATAAGGGGTAGCTTAGGCTACTTTTATTTTAGAAAAATAAAGTTAAATTCCACATGGACATAGTTGTGTGGACAGCTAGTTATACATATAAATCTTCCTCTTGAATTAATCTATCTACTGTTAAAAACACATTAAAATCTATTGCATAGTTTAAAAGATCTATGCGAACAGACATTGGAAGCAACTTCATTTTATACCATGTAAAGATTCAGAATTAATATTCACAAAGCAATATTAGTTATTTATAGCAAATTCTTTTAGCTGTTACCTGCAACTTGATTTGGTTTTTTGAAACAAAAGACAGCTTATATCCATTCTTATGATACAATGTATGTTAATATCAAATTTCATTAAGTACATTAATTGTTTAGTCATGAAAAAGTAACAATTACTAATACACACTTCTGACTAATAATGTCAGTAAGTATGGTGTATTGATTTTGACTATTTAGTGATGGAAACACCGGTAACAAATTCAATTAATTCTGAAAGGTTTTAGGGCCTGTTACGCTAGATTCCAAATGTACTCAGTGAATTATAGATATGCTAAGCATCTTTTTATGGATGGTAATAGAATGATGAACCTCTCTGGAACAGTTTATTCTGGTAGGGCCACCAGAGGAGGATGATAAGATGACCGTTAGATCAGGTCAGTTAGCCCATCGTGACAAATTCTCCAAGAATTTACCATGATGGTATCCAGGTGAAACCACCTGGCTTGCTCTTCTTGAGCATGAAGTCAGTTTATACAACTCAATATGGCAAATTCGCTAGGAATTTATCATGATTCCATGCTTATAATAATGGTTTCCAGGCAAGCCTGCATGGAGGTCAACCTAACAATGTCGGCGGATCGTGAATTTGTGGGGCCCTGGGCTAAATCTACTTAGGGGCCCCACCTAATTATATTACTTAACTAAAAAATACACCTACGTAAAATAAGCGACCAGAAATTTTCCGTTTCTTTCAATAGACGCGCACTTGCAGGGGTTGATTGATCTCAGGGTTGCTAACCTTATGATAGGTTTTTTAACATTCTAGATATTTTTTATATTCTAAATATCGTTTCATTCGGGACTCGAGGCCCGAGGCAAAAAGCCGGTAGGTAGGTAGATCCGCCCCTGACAACGTACCTTGTTAGAAATGGGGTTATTAGTCCACATTACTAACAATCTCTTTCCCCTCCGCTACTTTGTTATTCCACTTACATCAAAATAATGTTTGTTTTGTATTAGAGACTGATTGAAATATCGATTAGGGCTTCAGTGTTTCACTACAAGTTATTTCGAATTGCCTACTGGAACATCTCAAAAGCAGACCGCGCAAATCTACGGCCAATAACTAGTATTTTTGACCCCTCATTGTTTACGTTTATATGTATTATTGTCTTTCGGACACAAAGCAGTCTTATCACTTATTAAATACGCATGAAATTACGATAAATGGTCTTTGTAAGACAACGAGGAGTCATTAAACTTGTATGTTAGGTATCTATTGAGTTTTGTAAATAAAGAAATAACCTGCTGTTGTTAAAAACAACTGTTCAAATAATTTACATGTTTTGACGGTCTCGCTGGTCTACCGGTTGAGCTCACCGCTTTAATTCAGTCGGTTACGGCTTCAATTCCTCGCACGGTACAAAGCTCATCGGTTATATTTTTTATGTATGTTAAGTATGTATTTACAAAAAAATTTAAAGAATTTATCAGTTGACTAGTACCCATAACACACACTCTGCTTACTTTGGGACTAGTGGCGTAGTGTGAATGTCCAGGGGTATTATTATTTATAATTTTTAACGCTACTGAACCCACAGTAAGGTTTCTGTAAAGTTCCAACGAAAGAGATGACTTTAATCACAATTTTTAATAAAATATTATGGAATTATACGAGTATCATCTATATATCTATACCTATAAATAAACTTGGAGTATCTGTTTGTAATATTGAAATAAGCGAATTTTGCTACATGTATATGAATATAAATACGGTACATACACCAAAATATATTTTTTTACAATTTTTATTTGTCTGCCTTCGTCCGTCTTTTTGTTCCGGCTAATCTCTGAAATGGCTGGACCGATTTTGACGGGACTATTTTTGGCAGGTAGCTGATGTAATAAGGACTAACTTAGGCTACTTTTATTTTTAAAAAATGTTTTCATTTAGAAAAATAAAGTTAAATTCCACGCGGACGAAGTCGCGGGATCAACTATTCCATAATAAATACTTCTGTTAGCGCGAAGTAATAATAATATAATAACTCAGGACAACTTACATAGCGCCATCTAGACTCAGATTACGCCGAACTTTCTATAGGAATTGTTCAACTAATATATAATATACATAGAAGTCACCCAGACCCATGCAATGAGTTTTTGCATGGGTCTGGGTGACTTCTATGTTTGCATCGTACAGGAATTGAACCCACAACCATCAAGGCGACGTCTTTAGCCGCTGTATAACCGTGGCCGTGAAACCACTGGCAAGGCACTTTTCTAGGTTGAAACGATAACTTCTGACTCAATCCCATTACTAGCAATGTACCATACCAGGTTTACCTCTACGTTCTCCCCGGAAACCATCGTGATAAGTTCCTGCGGGATTTGTCACTTTGGGCTTATTGGCCTGATCTCATACTCATATTATCATCCCTCAACCGAACCCTACCAAAGTAAACCGTTAGCGCAGGCGGGTACGCCATTCCATTATCATCCATTAAAAAACATCCTGACAAATTGACTAGGACATAACCACAAAGGTTTCTTTTATATATCTGACTGACTCTCCGGCGAAGGAAATACCGATATCAAACCAATAATGAATCCGCAGAACAACGATAGGATCGCCCCATACCAGTTTAGATCCTAAATATACCAGAGAAATGTGAGCATATGAAGCGTGGCGTTCACCACAACATTGACAGTTGACAATGCCTCTGACAACCCCGTCTAGGTCGAATATCTGTGTGTCTGACAACCCCGTCGGTCAACGAATAGTCGTGACCGTATATAATGGTATGGATGATAATGAAATGGTGCCTCCGTCTACGCTAACGGTTTTCGCTGGCGAGGCATCAGTGGAGGATGATAACATGAGCACAAGGTCAGGTCAGTTAGCCATAGTGGCAAATTCACCACGAATTTATCAAGATGGCTTCAGAAAAGGATATGGAAGGCTAACTCTCTTCCAGACATGGAGGTCAACAAAAGTGGTAGGTGGCTGATATATATATATATAAAGGTATATTGCCAGCAGTGGCACACATTATATATACTATATATAAAATATATACTGTGTGTAGTGTTAGTATATACATGTAAATATATAAATACACATCACAATGGAGATATCAGTGGATATTGATGAACAGAGACCCGCTATCTAAAACGGAAAAATGTCGATATGGAACAATATATATGTAATGATATACATATACTGTCTGACCCCGCAAACGTTGTTTTGCCATATAAATTAAAATCTCTATTACAAAGTAGGGGTATAAAAAAATTACTGTTTACATTTAACTGAAACTGAAAAAAAATTAACTGTTTTAATGAGTATAAAAAAAACTGTTTACATTTATACTGAACCCCCTCATTGTGCGAGATTTGCACTTGCCTGATTTTTATTTCACCTAGACGAGGTAGGATATTTGTAATGATATAGTCATAGTAAGTCAAATAGGGCAGTGTGACTCCAAACAATAGACTTAGTTTTTAATAAAGGTCACCCATTAACATTGTTATACAAAACACGCATGTTAAGTTCACATCATTGTTTTCTTGTTGCCGATCCAACAGTCTTGAAATGAAGGAATATCTGCCATAAAATACATGAAATTTAGATATTAAGGCTGATCCGGCTCGAGGGACCAACGTGTTACTAATAGTGGATGATAAGCGAGTCACATAGACTGTATTTTACATATATCGTCTGGTCTTTTATTCCTGTTAGGGTAGAAAAGAAAGAAAAAATATTTATTGTTAGTAATGTGGACTGATGACCCCATTGCTGGCAATGTACCAAGTCAGGTTGACCTCACACGGTTTCCCCTGGAAACCATCATGATAAATCCCTTGTGATATTGCCGTTAGCACAGATGGGTACACCATTCAAATATCATCCATGAAAAAACAAAGTACCTTTTGCTATATACCATATAGCACGTTAGTATATTCTAATCCAACGTGGTATGTGGCAAACCTGCCTTCTCTCGCATTATTGGTTTGTCTTCAAGACCTTTCTAAAGTAGTATATTACTAGGTTACAACACCCTCATGAGCCCTCTCTCTATGTCTCTCTCCCGCCGTATTTTATTTTAATAGACCAGATGACCAAAATCATCCTTATGATACCAAAGGAGAATTGATACAGGGTGTCCCATAAGTCCTTTGAATTGAAAAAAAAAACTATGTACAGTATGAATAAAGTTCAGACTGCGAAATTAAAATCAGTTTCATAGTTATGTTATTGAGCGGTAATCTTGTATATTGATGAATGTTTATTTATAACGCTATATCTCCTGTTTTTTATAGTTGAAACTTATCTCTATTATTGTTGCCAAGCGGTTTTTAATCGTCATGTCATCGTTCCACGTCGTGATTATATTTATCAACGGAATTTATAAAAATTAATTAATATTTTTATAAGTATGTACGGGTATTTAATAAGCTTGCTAATTGCGAGTTATGTGCGAAGTTATGAAGAATGCACAGACAGATACTTTTTTAAGAATTGCAGAAGAAGAATAGAAATAATCTTAGTTTATTTTTTTTTATACTACTATAGTGGCAAACAAGCATATGGGCCATTTGTATACGGGTATTGGTAAATGGTTACCGTAGCCTATGGACGCCTGAAACACACTATTACGTGCACGTTGCCAACCCTTAAGAAACCTTAACCGTTCTTGAAAAACCCCATGCTGTAGTCGTGAGAATACCTCGGCAGGTAGTTCATTCCACAATCTAAGTGTACGCGGGAGGAAGCTCCTCTGAAACAGCACTGTCCAAGACTACCCAGGTTCTAGTGTGGGGATGGATTCCTTGATGGTCAAATGATTTTTTTATTAGCACTTTTGTATGGTCATAAATATGATTACTATTCTACTACTCATTCCGAAAGTAGAAGCGTGTTGTTGATAGAATGGAGTTTATGTCCGTCTTCTGTCTTGCGATAAATGTTTTTTTTATTTATTTCTCTCTTTCTTTCGTGCTTTGTTCGTACTGCAATCTTCGACAATCAAATTTGATTAAAACAAGCGACTGAAAGGTCACTGTTTGTGTTTCTAACTGTGATCTATTTTTAATGCATTTAAAATCAATAAAATGATTACATAGTACAAGACAAAGTCTTGTCGCTGTCTGTCCGTGGCTATGTATGCTTAACTCTTTAAAACTACGCAACGGATTTTGAAGCGGTTTTTGTTAATAGATAGACTGATTCAAGGGGAAGGTTTATATATATAATTTATGTACACCCGTGCGAAGCCGCGGCGAATAGCTCTATTAAAAAAACAGCTTCAAAATCCGTTGCGTAGTTTTAAAGATTTAAGCATACAGACAGACAGCGACAGCGACTTTGTTTTATACTATGTAATTATGAATACGATATGTCAGCCCCAAGCTGACCTAACTCTGGTCTACGTGTAGTAGTATTTTCGCCGTTTAAGCAACATTTTTCATTACAGTTTAGTGAAATTAGGATTGATAAGAAACAAATAGAAGCGTCTCAGCAGGCGACATCAGCTAGAACCAGTGTCGTAGCAAGATGTGAAGGACTATCTAATACTAAAATAATTTTCTAAATTAAATTAATAGTACTGGAGGTCAAACATCCAAATTAACAAAGTGTACCTTATTATAATCTTATATATACAATTCTCGAGTCACTATGTCAGTTACCATACTTTGAAATGGCTTTTTTTTTTACCAATATTTATTAAATTTTAAAATAATAATAATAATAATCTCAGGACAATTCACACAGCGCCATCTAGACCCAAGTTAAGCTAGCTAAAGCTTGTGCTATGGGTCCTAGACAACTGATACAAATACATAGATATATTTTTTTTTTTCGTAAATACATACATATTATACATAGAAAATACCCAGACCGATACAAACAATCATACTCATGAATACAAATGTTTGTGCCGTGCGAGGAATCGAACCCGCGACCATCGGTCGTAAAGCGGTAGACTAGACCGCTAGACCACCGAGGTCGTCAAAATAATATTCAGTAGGTCTGAGAATCGGCTACTATCTATTTTTTATACCCCTGAGTGATAAGGATCACCCCTAAATTTTATTTTATATTTTGTACATTTTTTAATTTTGTTATAATGTGGCATTAAAAAATACAGGCATCCCTAAATTTTCGCCCTTCTACCATCAACCCCTATTTTTGATAGCAATTTTAATTTATATGGCAAAACAACGTTTGCGGTCAGCTAGTCTATATACAATTCTCGTTTCGCGGTGTTTGTTACCATGGGTACTCCTCCGAAATGCTTAACCTGTTTTTTATGAAATTTTATATGCATATTCAGTAGATCTGAAAATCAGCTACTATCTATTTTTCATACCCCTAAGTGATAAGGGTCCACTCCTAAATTTTATTTTTTATTTATCTGACATAATTTCTTATTCCTTTCCATCATCAAGCCCTATTGTTTAATAGAGATATTAATTTATATGACAAAATGGTTGCTGGGTCAGCCAGTATAAATATAGTTTTGTTAACTTTTCCGGCAAATCATTTGATCGCGTCACACATTGTTTTTGTTATTCGACCTTGCCGTTATCAACACACCTTATAGCGCACGATCGGTCTAATACACCGTACTATGTATTGTTTACAGGAAATTTATATTAAATACATTCACGCTTTGCTTGTATCATTTGTTTACTTTTACGCAACATTAATCGGTTTCCGGAAATTTATACGCATCATTTCATAAGTAACTAGCTATATCGACCTCGATGGTGTTGTAGTTGAGCATCGCCTTATTAATCACTAGCTGTTCCCGTGACGCGGACAAACCGCGTGGAATTTAACTTTATTTTTCTAAAATAAAAGAATTTGTCTAAAATTAAAGTAACCTTCATTACTCCTTATTACATCAGCTACCTGCCAATAAAAGTCCCGTCAAAATCGGTCCAGCCATTTTAGAGCAGCCAGCCGGAACAAACAGACAGATAGACAAAAATTGTAAAACTTGTTATTTTGGTGTATGTACCGTATTTATATTCATATGCATGTAGTAAAATATGGTTATTTTTAATATTACAAACAGATACTCTAATTTTATTTATATGTATAGATGATACCGGTTTCGATTCTCGCACCATTCAAACATTTGTATTTCAAGTATGATTGTTTGTATTGTTCTGGATGTTTTCTATTATGTAGGTATTCACAGGAGTATGTATAATAATATCTCAGGACAATTCACAAAGAGCCATCTAAGTAATCAAGTTAAACAGAGCTTGTTATAGGTACTAGACAACGGATATAAATACTTACAGTATTTTTTCTTATAAATGCGTAGACGTAACACCCTGTAGTTTGAATATCTGTATGATAAAACGATCCTGTATGTATTGTCTTCTTAACAAGCGGCTAAAACCGCCGTTTAATTAAAAATTAAAAAAATAAAACACCTTCCCACACCCACGCTTCGTTTCGCATCATCCGACCGCCATGAAGACTGGGGTAAAGGATTGTTAATCATGGGAACTGGTGTTCGATGTTAACAATGTACCATGTATGGTTAATCTCCATACGATCACCCTGGAAACCATCGTGGTAATCAGTTGTATTCCCCCCGATGGGTACTGTTTATTAATTTATTTATTGGTATAAAACTAAGAGAGCTTTACAGTTTCCCAATATGCTCACTTAAGAAAATTATACCAAAATATAATAAAAAAATAAATAATCCAGCCCAATTAATATAGCGCCATATATAGGTTACTAGATAACTGATATACTTAGATATTATACGTATTACTGAAGTATTCCACTGCCATCCTGTTCTGACTTCATTCTCATTTTTTTATGAATAATAATGAAATGTTGTACCCGACTGCGCTAACGGTTCAGTACACCAGTGGATGATGACAAGATGAGCATGAGCTCAGATCAGTTAGCTCATCGTGACAAATTTATCAAGAATTTATGACAATGGTATCCAGGGGGAACCGCGTGGAGGTCAACCTGACATGGTACACTGTTAGCAGTGGGGTCAGCAGTCCACAATACTTTTTCCCCTCTACTTCATTCTCATTCTATTATCCTCCTTTGGAATATTCCTTTCGTAACCAATAATTAGTAAATGTTTTAACTGAACCTGTTTACCTTTGTTTCAGGGATGCATTTCTCACAGTCGGTTGCCATTATACAGAGTCAAGTGGGGACAATAAGAGGAGTTCAAGTACTATATAGTGATCAGGTAATATATACATACTGCATATATTCCTATACAATATAGTTTTAATAATAATAATGTTTATTTTCTTTACATATTATTTATTTATTCATTTGCATTCCATAGTGTAACAATAATGGTTGACATAATATTATTATAAGAGCACCATGGAGGGTCCATAGTGCTCTTATAATAGCTCAATTAATTTTTTTAGTTATGTATATTTTGTATATGCAGGTAGGTGGTTATATATTTTTATATTGCCATAGGACCAGATAATATTATTTGGGTAATAATTGGTTGGTAATATTAGTTGGGTGTAGTAAGCTACAAAGAGATAATTATTTTATATATTATTATTCTAATCGATGTGTATACATCTACTGATTTTTTTATAATTCATAAGTTATCTGTCAAATATTCATCGACATAATAGCATTTTTGTTACAAGTAATCTTTTTTAAGTTATGTATAAATATTTTGTCTTTTATTTTTTCTAATTGTAGCGGAATTAAACAAAATTAAGTAGTAATTGTATTCCATCGTTTATTAATAACTAGCTACTCACCCCGGCTTCGCACGGATATACATATATATAAACGTTCCTCTTGAATCACTCTATCTATTAAAAAACCGCTTCAAAAACCGTTGCGCACTTTTAAAGATTTAAGCATACATAAGGACAGACAGCGACTTTGTTTTGTATTATGTTAATTAATAATGATTAATCTTTCTTTTTCAGAATCCACTGTCGGTAGATTTAGTTATAAACATGCCCCAAGACGGGATCCGGTTAATATTCGACCCCGTCGCACAACGACTCAAGATTATAGAGATATACAATATGAAATTAGTTAAACTTAGATATAGGTAAGTTTACCTTCATCTTTTTAGATACATACTAGCTTTTAACCGTGGCTTCGCTCGCATTAAATCTATTAAATAATAATATTACTGGTTGCTAGATGGCGTTGAAGTAGCATATGTTGGTATTTTATATTTTTTTATTTAAAAAAAATATATTGTTTCTTTTTTAAATATAAAGTATCCTATGTTCATTCTAATACCTCCAAGAACATGTGTAGAAAATTTCATGATGATCGGTTCAGTAGTTTTTGCGTGAAAGCGTAACAAACAGACCTACTTTCATATTTATAATATTAGAAAGGATATGCATGCATGCATGCTTTTTGCATCGTTAGATAATAGATCATAAGGTGATACGGTCATGTCATGCTGCGGCCATCAAACCATATGACTAGAGCAGTACTTGACATGAGTACAACTCAGAACACGCGACTGACATCGCCTCTCATGGATATCTGTTATTAATAGGGACCTAAAAAAACGCTGAATTTACACCTAGGACAATTCACAAAGCTAAGCAAAGCTTGTGTTATGGTTACTAGACCACTGATATAAATATTTTTTTGTGTATATATGTACATACATAACATTAATAAAAACGCCCATACCGATGAATACTAAAGTTTGCGAGGAATTGATCCTGTGACTCTCGGAAGTAAGGAGATGTGCTAAACCACCAGATTAACGAGATATGTCCCTTCCGATTGATCCCCCGTCCAAATGAAACGGGGATCGAAATTACGACGGCCTTCGCTGAGGTTCGAACATCTAGCGGCGTCGGTCAGACGGGAGTTGGCCTCAGCCGCTCCGTAAGTCCTTCCGCGTATTTAGAGTGTCAACCGTACTCGCCCCCCATCGTCCGGTGAAGCTGTAAAAGCGAGCTGCGGCCAACAGTATTACAGTACTCCGAAATGAGAAAAAAACGAAACATTCGATTATAATAATTCACATTCAGTGTTACCAGTATGTTTGAGCTTTTCAGTTATCTATACATCTATACATATAAATAAAATTGGAGTGTCTGTTTGTAATATTAAAATAACTGTTTTTTAATGCATACATATGAATATAAATACGGTACATACACAAAAACATTTTTACAATTTTTGTCTGTCTGTTTGTTCCGGCTAATCTCTGAAATGGCTGGACCGATTTTGACGGGACTTTATTTGGCAGGTAGCTGATGTAATAAGGAGTAACTTCAGCTACTTTTATTTTAGCCGGTTAATCTCTGAAATGGTTGGACCGATTTTGACGGGACTTTATTTGGTAGGTAGCTGATGTAATAAGGAGTAACTTAGGCTACTTTTATTTTAGAAAAATCAAGTTAAATTCCACACGGACGAATGCTGATGTAATGCTGAATAAATGTCGTTATTATTACTAGAACGTTTCTAACCCAGTAGCCTTACTGCATATTTCAGTTACATAAGTAACATACCTACTCTACGTATTCACATACCGATATAAGATATATATTCCGGTTGATATGCGGATAAGATATTCATAGATTGTCACAGCATCGATGGTACAGATGGTGCCAATTCACATACAATATTTCATTTGGATCGTAAAGACGTGCGTTATCAAATAATAGTAATAAACATAATAGACTTTGACAATTCACACAGCGCCATCTAGTACCAAGCTTAGCGGGTGATTGTGTTATGGGTAGACAACTGATACAAATACATAGATTTTTTTTGTCAATACATATATAATATACATAGAAAACACTCAGACAGAAACAATTATACTCATGAATACAAATATTTGCGCCGTGCGAGGAATCGAACCCGCGACCATGAGAAGTGAAGCGGTGTGCTAAACCACTAGATCACCGAGGCCGACAATAAATGCTTGTTTATTATGCCCTGCTGACATATCTGCCATTATAATGTTAATTGGGTACTTACGCAGCTCGTGACCCTACCTTTTATACCGTAACTCTACAGAGTAATGAATAAACTTAGCATATATATCTTACTAGCCGTGCCCTCGGGTTCACCCGCGCGAAATTTAAAGCCTATATGTTATTCCGATGCATAAGCTATATTACTATAAAGTTTCATCAAAATCTGTTCAGTAGTTTTCGCATGAAAGAGTAACAAACGGACTTATACACACAAACTTTCGCGTTTATACCCGTAATATTAGTAAGGTTTATAAAATTCTCGTGTCACAATGTTAATTACCGTACTCCTTCGAAACGGTATGACCAATTTTTTTGAAAATTTATATGCATATTAAGTAGGTCTGAGAATCGGCTACTATCTATTTTTCATACCCCTAAGTGATAAGGGTTGTCCACCCGTAACATTTATTTTTTGGACAATTTGTTTTTTATATATTAAAAATACAACTCCTATATCCTAAATCTTCACCCTTCTAGCATCAACTCTAATTTTTTAATAGTGATTTTTATTTATATGGCAAAAAAGCGCTTGTTGAGTCAGCTAGATTACTATATAATATACGGCCCTGAGTTCGATAAAGCTATCCTGCTTTTTTAGCATACAGTAACATAATTTTAATTGCAAAACTTTGTGGGTTATATAGAAACGGGCTGTTCCCCGCGACTACGTCTATATATATGGAATTTAACTTTCATTTTCTAAAATAAAAGTAGCCTAAGTTACTCGTTATTACATCAGCCACCTGCCAAAAAATGTCCCGTCAAAATAGGTCTAGCCATTTCAGAGATTAGCCGAAACAAACAGACAGACAGACAAAAATTGTAAAAAATGTTATTTTGGTGTACGTACCGTATTTATATTCATATGCATGTAGCACAAAACACTTATTTTAATATTACAAACAGACTCTCCAATTTTATTTATATGTATAGATGTATAGATAAAATAAAAGATAAACCTGATAGAGTCACATTAATTTATTGGTTGAAACATAGATTCCAAATTTTTGTCTCGTCGCCAACTCGCAGATAAAAAGATAATATTGCTTCAATGCTCATTTTTTTAAGAAGTTCATCTTTCTTTACCTACCATTATGTTTTCTTTTCATTTGTTAATATATACAGAATATGTATTAACTTAATTCTTACATATGTTATTTGTGTTCCATTTTATGTATTTGTGTATGTCTATTAATTCTTAAAGTTTTGTATGTGATTTAATGTTATTTATAATGATATAAACACTTGATATGCCACTGCCGAATGAAGACTAAATTGACATATAATCTCTAGTTTAGTGGAACCAGCCTAGGCTCTTAGCATGATGCAAACACAGGAGATAGACTATTCTAACAATAAAATGGTCAAAGGCAAAAGGACAGTAGGACGACAGAAAAAATGGATAGGCTGATGATATAAAGATTAAAGAGGGAAACATATAATAGACATATAAAAGACAAACATCTAATAATTATAAGTTAGAAATGCGTGTGAAGTTATGTGGAAGGAAAAAGCTGTAACTTGGTTTGTTACCGGTGTTGTTTACACCAGGTCACATGTTGAGCGGAGCGCATTTATTCTTAAAAACTCGGACTTTAAAGTTAAATTTTGAGTGATAAACAATGGAGGCCCGAACGTCGACCTTCAACGAAATTTTGGTCTCGATCGGTCAATCCGTTTCGGAGGAGTATCGTTACAAAGAGTGCAAATCTGATCTCCAAGATCGCTCCTCGATTTGCGCTCAATTATATTAATAAATGTTATTTTCCAGTGGCATGTGCTTCAACTCGCCGGAGATAACGCCGTCGATAGAGCAAGTGGAGCACTGCTTCGGGGCGACCCACCCCGGCCTCTACGACTCGCAGCGGCATCTGTTCGCGCTCAACTTCAGAGGGCTCTCTTTTTATTTTCCTGTTGATAGCAAATTTGAGGTGAGTTATAGAATAATTGATCCTTTTGCCATTATTTAATATATATTTAGTAATTCACATATAATTTTTTAAAATTATTCAACAATGAAATTATAGACGGCGCTTATTTCTTACTAGCGACCCATCACGGCGTCAAACGGACGTTATATTTGAGGTTCTTCTTTTATAACTAAGATATCTCCTATAGTGTTCGTTGAAATGAAATTATAAAAAGGACAATTATGTTCAAAATTTAATACTTGTAATAAATAATGTAGGTATATATTTGGATAAGGATGTTTACAAAAACTACACACTACACTATGTTTACAAAAACACCTTCTTTAATAATGCATTATATTACATTTTTAACAAAATTATCAATAGAAAATAATTTATTTTTTACACTAATTAAAGTAATCATCATTAATATTTTTTTTTAAATACCTAGTTGAAATCACTTATTCATATAGGACATTTTAGCCGCTCATGAATGTCAATTTTTTTGTATTAATATTTATTCTTTGCCGTCCAGTTAAATATACTGATTCAATTGAGAAGAATTGGAAATTAACTTAATTTAATCTAGGTAATCTTCACGTCTAATCATTGATAGAAATTATGATTTATATTTTTTTTATTCGCTTTGCAGCCTGGTTACGCGCACGGGCTGGGCTCCCTCCAGTTCCCTAACGGCGGCTCACCGGTGGTCTCCCGGACCACCATTTACCATGGATCTCAACACCAGGTTTGTTACAGTAACTATTACAGTTGTAAGTTTTTAACAACTTAATGATTAATATATTTTATCTTTGAAATTTAGGGACTTCTGTACAAACTATAAATACGTGCCAATCCCATTATACCTTAAAACTAATTACTACATGACCTCACCAGTGAGCAAATTGCTTTAGCCGCACTATCTTAAATACCGGCTAAAATGCTTGCTATGGCACCAACAATCAATATATTTATTTTATAGTAAGACGTTATTCTATGTCGTAGACTCGTTCCTGACACATTCCATTAGCATTGCTTGCTTTGCTTTTTTTACATACTTGGCAAACTTTGCCGATGCATAATGTCCAGAACGGAGTCTATGCATTTTTAGAATGAAGATCGTTGATTAGTATCTGAGCCCGATCTTTAATTTATGTTACACATATGTCAACATACACATCGGTAAAGCTGTATCTGAGATTAGCGCGCATTTAAGCATAGACAAACAGACACAAATTCTACCAATACTTGCTACAACGGACGATAGGCGAGTGCAGATGGCACTCCAAATACGCGGAAGGTCTTATGGAGCGGCTGAAGGCCAACTCCCGTCTATCTGATACGACTTTAGTCTGAGGGCACCGCTAGGGGTTCGGAGCTCGGTCCAGGCCGTTGTAATTCGATTCTCGTTTGAATTGGACGGAGGATCGATCGGAGAGTAGTACATGTGGTGTCCTGAATGTGAATTTCCAGCTGAGCAGTTCTGCCGGCGGCTCGTTATGCCAGGCGCCGCTGCCGGATCTGCCGCTGTCCTGCTACCGTCACCAGCTACACCTGCGGCGCTGCGACGTCCTGCGCACGCACACCGCCACCGTCGGCCTGCGTCTTCACATGTTCACAGAAGGTAAGCCCGTTTGAAGGTACGTTCTCCATTTACTCATATAAACATGTTACTGCTTCATTTTCCGATGTTAGCGGGTTCTATGATCATATAGTCGTTATTTGCGACCGTCCGCGATTTCTTCTACGTGTGTATTTTTATAAATGTTCTTTTAAAATGTAATGTTATAATAATGAAATCGTGTTGTCCATATTCGCGTCGCGTTCGTTTCCGCTTTTGAACGAGAAGAAGAAATAGTTTGAAAATTATGAAGATGAAAACGTTTTGTTCTCTTCTGTATTTGTACTGTAAAGTACAGTGTTTATTTTTACTCCCTCTGCCAATAAAAGGTGCCATATGGCGCACATAAAGGTTCGCAAAAGCTGCCAGCGCGTGGCAGCTGTCGCCGGACGCCGGACGCCGGACGGCGGACGGCGGACGGTGTGGGGCGCGTACAGTGGTGTAGCGGGGCGTGTCCGCAGGCGGAGCGCGGCCGGTGGCGGCGGTGCGCGCGGTGCAGTTCGGCGACAGCTGCCAGCGCGTGACAGCTGTCGCCGGACGCCGGACGGCGGACGGCGGACGGTGTGGGGCGCGTACAGTGGTGTAGCGGGGCGTGTCCGCAGGCGGCGCGCGGCCGGTGGCGGCGGTGCGGGCGGTGCAGTTCGGCGACAGCTGCCAGCGCGTGGCAGCTGTCGCCGGACGCCGGACGCCGGACGGCGGACGGTGTGGGGCGCGTACAGTGGTGTAGCGGGGCGTGTCCGCAGGCGGCGCGCGGCCGGTGGCGGCGGTACGGGCGGTGCAGTTCGGCGACAGCTGCCAGCGCGTGGCAGCTGTCGCGCCGGACGCCGGACGGCGGACGGTGTGGGGCGCGTACAGTGGTGTAGCGGGGCGTGTCCGCAGGCGGCGCGCGGCCGGTGGCGGCGGTGCGGGCGGTGCAGTTCGGCGACAGCTGCCAGCGCGTGGCAGCTGTCGCCGGACGCCGGACGCCGGACGGCGGACGGTGTGGGGCGCGTACAGTGGTGTAGCGGGGCGTGTCCGCAGTCGGCGCGCGGCCGGTGGCGGCGGTGCGGGCGGTGCAGTTCGGCGACAGCTGCCAGCGCGTGGCAGCTGTCGCCGGACGCCGGACGCCGGACGGCGGACGGTGTGGGGCGCGTACAGTGGTGTAGCGGGGCGTGTCCGCAGGCGGCGCGCGGCCGGTGGCGGCGGTGCGGGCGGTGCAGTTCGGCGACAGCTGCCAGCGCGTGGCAGCTGTCGCCGGACGCCGGACGGCGGACGGTGTGGGGCGCGTACAGTGGTGTAGCGGGGCGTGTCCGCAGGCGGCGCGCGGCCGGTGGCGGCGGTGCGGGCGGTGCAGTTCGGCGACAGCTGCCAGCGCGTGGCAGCTGTCGCCGGACGCCGGACGCCGGACGGCGGACGGTGTGGGGCGCGTACAGTGGTGTAGCGGGGCGTGTCCGCAGGCGGCGCGCGGCCGGTGCGCGGCGGCGGTGCGGGCGGTGCAGTTCGGCGACAGCTGCCAGCGCGTGGCAGCTGTCGCCGGACGCCGGACGCCGGACGGCGGACGGTGTGGGGCGCGTACAGTGGTGTAGCGGGGCGTGTCCGCAGGCGGCGCGCGGCCGGTGGCGGCGGTGCGGGCGGTGCAGTTCGGCGACAGCTGCCAGCGCGTGGCAGCTGTCGCCGGACGCCGGACGCCGGACGGCGGACGGTGTGGGGCGCGTACAGTGGTGTAGCGGGGCGTGTCCGCAGGCGGCGCGCGGCCGGTGGCGGCGGTGCGGGCGGTGCAGTTCGGCGACAGCTGCCAGCGCGTGGCCCGGGCGCTGGGTGCTCCGGCGCGGCTGTACTACAAGGCGGACGACAAGATGCGCATCCACCGACCCACCGCGCGACGTCGTCCGCCGCCCGCTTCAGACTACTTCTTTAATTACTTCACCCTCGGCCTGGTCAGTATTACATTTTCTTTATGTAACCGAAATATCAAACAAGCTGACGGCACACCAGGTGGTAAGTGTTAACAGTCGCTTATATAAACGGGACCACGAGTATCACGTTATCACGTGACCTCCATGCGTTGACATTCCGGACAACTGAGATGGTATGTCTCCATACTCTATAATTTCACTAGCTTATCTTACTCGTCAACCGAAACACATCTTACAAAGTTTGACACCTGCAATCTGTAGGTGAAACAAAGGTACGCAAGCTGACGACTTTGTGCAAAGCCAACCTCTACAATATTGTACATTGCACCACTAAAGTTCTTTTGAGATAAGTTGCTAAATATTAGTACTTATCGTAGTAAAGAAATCTGTTAATTCGAATGAAGTTGTTTTGTGAACAAGTTGTTGTGTTATGTATGAGCCAAATTGTCAAAATGTTATTAGTCTGGAGTGTGATTATATTCAGTTATATAGTTTTAGTGACCGACTTATAAATTGCGTTATAAATTTATTATATTAACGTTATAGTTAATATAATTAATTTTCATTACTTATATATCTACATGTAATAGAATTAAAGGAGTAACTTAATATCTGAAACACAATATACTGTGACATCATTAGTTCAAAATAAATTAATATACTCGTACTTGTTATATTGTAACGGTTATCAGGTCATGATATTTGTGGTTCATTTTCTACATTTGCATACTGGTGTAACAGTTATTAGGTCATGATATTTGAGGTTCATATTTTACATTTGAATACAGGATGTCCTGTTCGACGCCCGTACGCACCAAGTAAAGAAGTTCGTACTGCACACCAACTATCCCGGCCACTACAACTTCAACATGTACCACCGCTGCGAGTTTGAGCTTGCTGTACAGCCGGACAAGTGAGTCGATATTATAATAATAAGTTGGACTTCACCCGCTTACCTTCATATTTCTTCAAAAAGCTGTAATTGTAACACCTGTAGAATTCACGGCAAAAAATTGTCTTCAATTTAAAAAATATTATAATAATAATTTTCTCTTATGTCTCATTGTTTGACCATTTTCACACGTAAAGACAATTCTATCACCCCATCAAAGGGAGAATACTAAAAAATATATAAATAAATAATAATAATAATAATATATTTTTTTACAAACTATATAATATATTTATTGCTATTTGCTAGATGCTAGATAAATTTCTTGCTAGATGCTCTCAAAGTAATAAATATTCCCCGTTCTTGCAACATTTTTCATTGATGCTCAACATTTCTAACATTTGCATTGTAAAATATGCTGCAAAATTTTTACTAATTATTTTACCTTTTTAGGCTGATAGTGTAATAGATAAAATCTTCACTAGATAGTATAAAATAGAGTCGCTGTCGCTGTCTGTTCGTCCCTATATATTTATGCTTAAATCTTTAAAACAACGCAACGGATTTTGAAGCAGTTTTAATTCTAGACAAAGGTTTATATAACTCATGTACACCCGGGGAAAGCCGGGGCGATTGGCTAGTAATAAATAAAATATAGACATATATTCTATGTGAGCGACCTAACAATAAAAAATTTTGCTCGTGAACCAGATGCGACCCGAATTCGCTGGTGGAGAACCGCGGCGCGGTGTCCATCACCGCCTACAGCAAGTGGGAGGTGGTGTCGCGAGCGCTGCGCGTGTGTGAGCGGCCGGTCGTGCTCAACCGGGCCTCCTCCACCAACACCACCAACCCGTTCGGCTCTACCTTCTGCTACGGTTACCAGGACATGATATTTGAGGTTCAGATTTTACATTTTATTTATTTACACACAAAGAAAAGCAAGATGGCCTCTATAACATTCACCGTTAACCCATTCACCTTCTGTTGCGGTTACCAAGATGATATTTGAGGTTCATATTCTACATTTTGTTTATGTATATTTATTTGTCTTATATTTCGTTAATAATTTTATGTTAAATTGTGTTATTATAATACTTATTAATAACTTATACTGTACGTCCATACTGTCTCGCAGTCTAATAATCGCGGTCGTTACCCAAACAAGTGAACATTGATGAGTATGACTGTTCGTATTGGATTAGGTAATTTTTAATTATTTTTGTATCGAATAAATTTTGGAAATTTAATAATAATCATAAATAAATAACCCTGAACAATTAACACAGCGCCATCTAATACAGAAAGCAGAGCTTGTGTCGTGGTATAAATACTTAGATTTTTTGTAAATACATACACAATATACATAGAAAGCACCCAGACCGATACAAACAAGCATACTCATGAAATGTTTATACCGTGCAAGGAATCGAACCCGCGACCAATCAGAAAAGCGGTCTCCTATACCGCTAGACCACCGAGACCGTCAGATTAGTTAATATCAAAGTTGTAAAATTAAAGCGCCTACTATTTTTTTCTACGCAAACATCACACTTGTGCATTATTTGTGCTCATATATTTTTGTAGTTTTTATTAAGTCGCAATATAGAAGTCGTACAAGTTATCCTGTCATATCATATCAATTTGAATTTAAACACTGTCATACATCCTCTATATTAACACAAATATCCCACATTACACACATCCTTTCCACTGCATACAACCTCTATTACGTACTTCTAGCATTTATCAGTTAAAACAATACTTAGAGTTTCTTAAATAGATTTACTAATCATTAATCTACTTAGTAATAAAGATACATACACCACACATACTAATAAATATCTGCGTCTAATAAATGTTCTATATAATATATAGTACGTGTTACAAGAGAGCACTGATATCTATAGCACAGGTGTAATACCTAGTGTTGGTTATCAGGGTCCTCATTTTGTATTGCACAACTTTCTGCCATTTGATTACCTACCTAACTAACTGCAACTATTATGTGCTGCTCCTTTTTAATGTTGTAATCTTTTGGTTATACAAATAAAGCATTAATATTATTTTTAAGAATTATTGCGACACTGAAGTGGTTATGGGCAGAGCACATAGCTCGTAGGACATTGACCGTTGGGGCAATAAAGTCCTCGAATGGCGACCACGGGCCGGAAGACGCAGCGTGGCAAGGTGGACCGACGATCTGGTCAAGATCGCTGGAAGGCATTGGATGCGAGCAGCGCAGGACCGATCGTCGTGGAGATCTTCGGGGGAGGCCTGTGTCCAGCAGTGGACAGTGGCGTCTTCCGGGCTAAGATGATGATGATGATTATTGTTAATTTCATTATTCCCAAAAATCCGCTGTGATTAGTGCAAAACAATCAGTATTTATATAGAATAATTGTTTTACAGGTGATGTCTAACAATTATATAGCGTCAATAACGTTATATCAGCCGGAGGGAACACGCCCTCATTACGCGGTCAACTCTATCGCGTGACATTCTCAGGTATATATATTGGTTTATTATACCATTAAGCTTAAATAATTAACAAATCAAATCAAATCAAAAATATTTTTTTTATACAACGTAGGTGGCAAACAAGCATACGGCCCATCTAATGGTAAACGGTTACCGTATCCTATGGACTCCTGAAACGCCAGGGGTGTTACATGGGCGTTGCCGGTCGGCAATTAGTATTTTATGGCCATTAAGCAACCTTAATATATCCTTGAAAAACACCATTTATTTATTCATGTAGGACATTTTAGTCTCTCAAAAACGTCACATTTTTTATATTAATATATTTTCCCTACCGTCCAGTACAGTATACAGATTCAGTTGAGATCTGACAACAAGCTCGATTGAATTTCTTCTTTTTAAAAGCCTGTTTATTTATATTGTGTATCTTAGGTACACATGCCGTTATGTTTAGCTTGCTGTGCGTAGAATGCTGTAGGAAATACTTATTTTTAATCTTTCGCGGTTAGTACATATTATTAATATAGTTAAGAAGGTGTAACACGAATAATTTTATGGTAAATAAATTATTCGTGTTGAAACCTGTTGAACTATATTAATTATGTCGTAGAAAATTGTGACAATAGTACTGTACAGTTGTTTAAAACATTGATATTTTTGGCAGGTATCTCCAAGCAAAGGCAAATACGCGTCCTGAACGAAATCGGTTCATAATCTCCACAAAAATCTCCACTTGTGTGGCAACACCAAAACAGTCACGAAATGTTGCCATGCTATAAAAGTAATAAAGCGTTAAGTGGCCACTACATATCCCTTCATGAGCACCTAAGAGGAAACAGTATTTAACAAAAAAAAAAATGTGATAAAAACTGTGAAAAAAAAACTCGAAAAAAAAGTGAGTGACAGATCTCAGATGGTGTATAATTTTAATTTAATTCACTAGCAACAATGGACGAAAATAGTAAAAAAAATGTATGTAATATTATTTTTAAATGAATCATGTAATGTTAAGTTGATATTTTTTTTTAAAGCGACAAGAGGACCGTTATTATGAAGATAATTAGTCAAATGTGTTCTTTAAGTTTTATCAAATTAGCTATATATAGAATTCATTGGAAATGGTATACCAACCCGAAGAATTTATTTTTTCAAAAAACTTAGTTGTAGTTTTATACGTATCTGTGTATAGTAAAAAACCCGCATCTTAATTTTTTTTAATGAGTATTGGGGGCTGCCTGAAAACCAGCGCTGTATAGGTGCACCTCATTAAGGTTGTGCTTATATCAGCAACAGCTGAGGCAGCTCCTATTGCCAACTTTCTATGTTATTATTTATTTCTCATTTTGTGTCTTATTGTAAACTGTATTATTTGTGTTATGTCGGCAATAAATTAATTATTTATTTATCTATTTGATCCAAACAGTGCGAAATTACTAATTTGTTGAAAATTGTTTCATAAATAAGTTTCGAGTTGGTGTATCATTTCTGATTAATTCTATAGAAACGGTCTGGTTACGATACCAACTGTAAAGTAGCAAAAAAATATACATAAGCGAACAATTTTATCATGTACGTGTTTTTTTATATCTGATATCGCTAAAGACATACATATAAACATCATTTGTGTACCTGTAATTAATCATTCTTTTGCATATAGACGCAAGCCGTCAAATCAATTAGCGCTGGACGCAATTTTTTTTTCATTACAATTTTTACCTATTTAGAAATTAAGTGAGACATTTGATATCATGACCAGATCGAAACTATTATGATTAGAAATAGACTGTGTTGTAAATATTCTTGGAAATACGAAAAAATAATAACAATAAAATCATAAATTGATGTATTTTTTCTAAAAATGATTTTCGTGTGAGCGTGCATAAAGTATGTGAATATGTATTTTTAAAATGTGTAAATAAGTAATAATATCCACTATTGACAGCACCACAGTTCAGCCATAGTAATGTTATGATATTTTTTTCGGTTGCGAGGCAAAAGAAATTATTTGTACAGTCATGACACCGACTACTTTATATTATGCTCAAGACAGTCTTGAGCATAATATAAACTAGTATTAGTATATTTGCTACTTTTCTTTACTAATTTTTGGGGCTATATTTTATAACTATTATATAAGTATATTACGCAGTGTACTCGCTATATTTGGATATTAACTATGTACGTATTATAACTATTTGACTTTTATACTCTTATTTTAGTGATGTACTTATTTATTTTGTTATTACAACTTCAGTCAATAGTTTCAATTTATAAATATTATGATTACCAGTACAATTCTTATTATTTATGGTGTTTGTTTTTACGATGAACATAGACAAAGTATAATGTAAAGTATAAAGTAGGTAACATTATGGAGCTGTAACTTGGAAGAGTTTAAAAATATATCTTATTGTCTTTTCACGTCTGAGTTGTACCACAATATCCTCGGTGTAGTTTATGATCCTATTCGTATCTATAAGTGACTTAGACAAGTTATGTATTGGTAATTATAGCATTTATAAATTGTCAATTGTCATAGAACATTTATTGGAATAAAGTAAAATTAATTTTAACATTTTATTCATTTACCTAAATTTCATATAATATGTTATATACATATTTATATTATCGAACTAGTTATTATTTTGCTGAAATTAATTTCATTACTCAATGTATTTATATTATTTTCTATAATTCCGCAATTAGCACGTGTGAGATAACAAATATTCTGTGCGGAAACTTGATTACCGTTCTGATCTTCTCTAATAGTGAATCCCACCGTTACTGAGTCTACACACATATTGCGTTGCGACACGTGTTACAAACAAGTCAAGTTTCCTCACTGAATATTTGTGGTCTCACACATGCTAACTGTAGCGGAATTAAACAAAATAATATAAAATAGTATATATACTTATACATATTCTTGTTCATTTAAATACTTTTTGGGTGTTTTCTTTTTAAATGTACTGGTACGAAAGTATAGTTTAATGAAACATTTCTATAAAGGCTCTTCTAAAATCGTAAAACTGCTCAAAATATTAACATATTATTTTCAATAAAGAACGAAGAATGTTTTTGAAATAAATTTTGCTTGTTTACTCTGTACCTAGATTTTTTTTTAAATAACTTTTTTTATTCTCACAGTAATGCTAGGTGTGCGCTTAAACGGAACAGTGTAGGAATAATGAATTTTAGTAAGGTTATAGGCTTTGATATGCGTATAAAATAATATATTTTCTATATTCAAATGTAAATACGGTTATGTTTGCATGGGGTGTTTATGGTGTATTGTTGATGCTCTACAAACTGAAATGTCACAATTTTTTTTATTATCAAATTAAAATGTTTTCCTATCAAATTGTGTCATAAAATTGCATTGGAATGTTTGTATTGGATTCTAAAATTGTATGCAGCTATCTGTAAACACTAAAGTAAAATATGAAGCTATTTGTTTAATATGTGATGTTGGAACCAAGAATCCGAATCTTGACCAAATTTAGCCAATTATGTCTGAAAATATTACATTTAAAAGCGCTATAAATTTATTGTTTTTTAAATTCTGTTCAATGTATGATCATTATGATGTTTGAAATTACGTTTTAATTTATATTTATTTATTTTAATAAGTTATATAATTTAGTTTTTGAAAAAGGTCTTCAATTTCCTATACTGAATGAAACTGAATGTAATATTTGATTCGTTTGATTTCATTCATTTCATACATATGGTCAAAGACAAAATAATTCATCATTTAGGATTTTTTTATCATTATCCTTATATTTATGAGAATTTTTTTTAATGACATTTTTATTTGATTTCGTTTCGATTGTCCGATTTCAGTTTATTCTTTTTTTAGTTTTTGTATTTTTATTAACCGATGTTTGTAAAATACACAAACTATATCATTTGGTTATTAATGAAAACTTTACCAAAGATTTTCTTCTACGTTGAACAGAATATAAAAAATAAATTAAAAATAAGTTTTAAAAATTGGCTGACATTATAAATAGTGCCAACTTTTTAAAATTGGACTGTATAATGCATAATATAAAAATTATATTTCCGTGATAATGAGCTTATATTAGTCTACATAATGGCGGGAGGCGGGTTGTGATGTTAAAAACCTTCTGCTATTAAGGCAATATGACACCGTAGCATTTGATTATAAGGTTTATTGTCGCATGAATAGATTTGAATGTTTTTGAGGCTGTTCATTCGTTTAATATTACAGAAATATGATCTTTTCCGTGTTTCATCGTCAAATTCCCAAGTTGTGATATCATTAAATATATATATATATACATATATATATACTATCTTAATTTTGCGTTATTTATTATATATTTATCATATATATATATATATATTCCTTATAATAAAAAATAAATATTCTATAGATATATATTTTATTCTTTTTCATAGGTCCAGTTATGTATCTAAATCGTTAAATTTACAATAAATACTAAATTAAAATACTTTAGTAACTTTGGCATATGAGAATCTGTTCCGAAAAATGTTGTAAAGGAACTGAATCAACATGTTCAATTCCTTGCAAGATTACGTTGTATATTTAAATCATATATGTTCTAAAATAATTTATTCATGTAGGACATTTTAGCCGCTTATTAACGTAAAATTTTTATATTATAATTTTATTTACTACCATCCAGTTCAGTATACAGATTCAATTAAGAAAACTGGTAAGAAATTTACCAAATGTATATATATATATATATAATAGTTTTTTTTCAACACAATACCTATTCTGTTTTTAAATCATATTCTCGTATCAACGACCATCTACACAATAATGTAATATTGTAAATTATATTTTTATACTTGAAGCAAAACTGTAAATAATACGGCTTCCAAATAGCTAACACATTAGCCAAAGCTTTAGATAATCATACTAGTGGACGGTCTGGATTTTCAGTGGATATATATATACACTGAAAATTTAGAATTCGCCAAAATATAATATATATATATTTTAATTATACATCGCACAGAGGCTTTTTCCTT